CGCCCCGCCGCTCTCCTGGCGCGTCATCGATTGCCAATTCCTCCTTCCGTGCTTCGCCGGGCGATTACCTACCCGCCCTCCCCCCCCCCCCGGCCCCGCCCGCACGTCTCCGACAGTCATGGCATACTCAGTGCGAGTCGTCGCTTCGCATTCCCCCCAGATCCTCCCTCCGGGGGTCGATCCCCGCCGCCACCCGCCGCCGCCGCCGGTCTACTGGCCAACCCGACGGCGCTGACTTTCCGCGTTGACTCTTTGACCGACCGTCGCCGCGAGTAGCTGTTCGCGGTGCACCCTCCGCCCGCGTGACGCACCAGGCGCGAAACTGGTAGCGCTGTGACGCCGGGCTGCCGGCCCTGGTGGTCCCGGCCGGCCCCCGCTTGTGGCAGGGGCCGGTGGCCCCGCCGGGACTACAGGACCGGTCACGTGACACGTGGTTTCTGTGCCGTCCATCTTGCCCAGTGCTTTAGGGCCCTGTGGCAGTTCCTGGGCGTTGTGCACCCCAAAATAGCCGGGGGCCCCGTGGTGCCTAGGGCCCAGGCCCGGTGCGACTCGCTGACAGGGAAAGGGGGAAATATCGGGGAGATTCGGCGCGGATATCTGTTCTGGGTTTGGTTTGGTAGGGTTTTCTGGGTGCGCACGTGCGCCGCCGCCGCCTTCCCAAGCGGGGGCGCCGAGTCGTACCGGCGAGAGTAATCGGCGACCGGACCGCAACTGTCAGGTACTTGTTTTAGGGGAAGTACAAGGCGCAGTACTTCGCAGTAGTGGATTGTACCACTCGTTGCTGAAAGGGTGATCTCCACCGGGTGGGCTTCCAACGGGAGCTGAATGACCACGTCGCGACGGTCGCAGCCGTCATCGTGTTTCTGGCAAAGCAGGGCGCGTTGGGCGCCGCGGCTGTTTGGGTGCGCGTTGCCCCGCGCGGAACTTAGCGAAAGTTCCTTTCGTCGCTAATTGGTGAACGTCAACTGCCGCTTCCATCGTCGATTGTTATTGTTCGCTGCTGTTGTCGATCGTTGTCGTTAGTCTTCGTTGTTCATTTAAAATTTAAAATTAATATTTAAGATATATTTTAACGGTTCAGCTTGCCGTGAACTGAGAAAAGGCCTCGAGTGTTGGAAAGGCGACAGCTCGATGTTTAGAAGAGCGCCCAAGGTTTCACAGCGATGGAGAGTCGAGCCGCGGGCCGTTCCCGGCGCCTGCTCGGTGCTCGTTTTCCCGCCCGGCAGCAAGAAATGGTGGTCGGAGCTCCTCGTGGGACGCGCGAAGATGTTTCTTTCCAGGACGGCGACTCGTCAACTTCACCCAGCTGATTGCATCGATGGGATACTGTTCGGGTGGCCCGGATCTTTATGACACTGCACCTTTTGTTGCATCGATTGCTACAATCGATATAATAAAAGAAGTGATGGTATGCTGGATATCTCTGAATAGATGTAATTGATTGTATGGAGGGTGTGTGCGCAGGGGCGGCCGTGTCCCCGCAGCGAGTCCTGCAAGTACGCCCACAACGACTTCGAGTACTGGCTCCACCCCACCAGGTACGCCACCGCCCCGGCCCAGGCCGGCTCTGCTCCCGGGGCCTGCGTTCGTGAGCGTTGCTGTGGCACTGATCGCGAGGTGCAGGTCGAGCTGGCCCCCTGGGTCCTGGGCCAGGCCAGGGGCGACGGTCACCCAATACGTATTTGGCGCTCATTGTCGCTCTGAAGCATTCGCCCCCTCTTCTTTTCTTTTCTTTTCTTTTCTTTTCTTTTCTTTTCTTTTCTTTTCTTTTCTTTTCTTTTCTTTTCTTTTCTTTTCTTTTCTTTTCTCAATTTGGCCGCCGTTCTCTGTCCTTTTGTATATCGCCTCGTTGACGGCTGCGCCAGATACTCGTCTGACGTCCCGTGTTTTTGTCGTCCGATGGCGATGTCGATTGCTGTATCGTACATTTTATCGATTAGTCATTATCGCTGCCCTTCAATCATCCAATAAACAAATTACTTGGGTACAGCCCTGAATCGGCTTCGTAATTGAACAGTCCGTTTGTCAATTCATCCATTCTTTATTCACACCTTGTTGTTTATCTGTTTTGTTTATTTTGTTTCTTTCTTCATTTATTGCTAATTTATTGTGTCTTCTGCGTTGTTTATTCATACGTCCCTCGTCTTACCCCTTCCTGGCCCGCGCAGGTACCGCACGGAGTACTGCAAGCAGGGCCCCGGCTGCAAGCGCAAGGTCTGCTTCTTCGCCCACAAACCGTGCGAGCTGCGCAAGCCCGCCGACATCATCGCCACCCTGCAGGCCAACGGCTGGCTGTCCCCGGGGCCGCCCGGCGCGCCCCGCCGGCCCCGCCACGCTCGCGGCGCATCCCTGGGCAGCAGCGCCGATTCCGCCGACACCACCTGCCTGGGCCCCGGGGCCCTGACCCACGGGTCCTCGTTCAGCCACCGCACGTCGATCGACTCGGCCGCCAATGCACTGTCTCCCGGGATGTACTCGCCGGGATCCGGCGCCGGCGCCGGCGCCGGCCTGTACTCGCCGGTGTACTCGTGTCGGAGCGGGTCGCTGGTATCGGAGCGGGACGCCAGCATCTACTCGTCGGCCACCGCCTTCGGGAGTCCTTCGGCGTATCTGGACAGTCCGCCATTTAGAGGTCCCGGGGGCCCGGAGGGCGCGCTGGCTGGCGCCCTGGAGGGGCTGGGATTCGGATGCGAGGATGGGGAGGCCTTCATGGCCGGCGCGTACTCGCCGCCACGGGCGGGCAAGCCGGAGAAGCAGGTGAGCGCTTACTTGTATTTGTTGATTTGTCTCGTCTTTTTCCTTTCTTTGTTTCTTTCTTTATTTTTTCCCTTTCATTATTTCCCTTATTAATTGTTTATTGGGGTATTGGGCTGACACATGGGCAGCTCTGGATGTGGCCATGATGCATTCTGCTGGCAACGTACTGCGGGTGTGGCACAGATGGTGCCGTGCACATTTTTGTCGTTACACCATATTTAGGAATTCTTCTTCTTCTTTGTTGATTTATCTTCTTTCGGGAGGGAAGGTAGCCGTGCACCGTGGTGTGAATATGATTCGAACGTTTTCTCACCGCTCTTTCAAAATGGCTCCAGGCGGGAGCTTGTGGGTATGGATGGTGTAACCGTGCTGATGCGCTTCCACTGCTTGTTGGACAATGGTGTGTGGCTCATCGCGGGGTAGTGACGATAGTGGCAGGAAAATGCAACAGTGAAATGGAGATGGCACACTGGTGCGCCGACACTGCACCAGCGACATGGCGGACCACATGCGTCCACAAGACAGTGGATTCCCCAGACCGCCGGAAACTTGCTGTTAAATTAATTATTTAAAGTAATTAATTAAAGTAGTTAGTATTGCGAATGTAGCGTCCGACTGTTTGCCTGAAAATGCGTGAGTCCTGCACCCACAGTTAGTGCTACACAGGTCGCACTGCTGATCACATGCGTGACCAGCAGCACGGGCTAATGCTGTGCTCCGAAACCCGGTTCGCTGCCACATTTCACTGCCCTGTTTGAAAGCAAGTTCTGCTGCGATTTCTGGGCGCTGCAAGGACGCCTGGCACCGGAGGAGCCACACTGCGCAAGACGTCGCCGGGATGCATTTTGGGAATCCCTTGCTTCTTTTGCTTCTCATTGCGGTTATGGCATGGACGGTGGCATGCACGTTTTTGCCATAACACTATGTGTTGGAAATCTCCTGCCGCTGCTTCTTCTTTGCCCCTCTTCTTTCTTTGCTTTTCTTGTTCTCTTGTTTTTTTTCCTTTTTTCCTGTTTTGCCGTTTCTGTTTCGCTTTTCTTTTGCAATTGCGTGCTGACCGTCCCCCTCAACGCCACCCCCGCAGCAGCTGGTGCTGGACGAGGTGTGCAGCGCCCTGGCGGGCTGCAACGCCGACACCTCCGTCCTCGACTCCGTCGACCCGGGCGTCTTCCTGCGCTGCGCCCGGCCTCACCCGGCGAGACCCGCTGCCGCCAGACCCCCCCCGGGCCTCAGGGCCCGGCGGGGCAGCACTGGCCAGAGCGAGCGCGTGATGGCGTACCTGAAGGCGCTGATGGACGAGCTGGAGAGGGGCGGGGGCCTTGGGGCTCAGGCCGTCCCGGAGGCCCCAAGGGCCCGGCGCCACGGCCGCCAGGGGAGGCGGTCGTGCGGGGAGGAGCTCGCGTGTCAGTCCGTGGGTCAGTCCCCGTTGACCGGGCCAGCGCGCGGGGACGGCGAGTCCATGGACGGGCTGGCGCTGGACCGGATCCTGGCGGGCGGGCAGCGGGGCCCGGGGGCCCCGGAGGGCGGGCTCGGGCTGGCGTGTCAGTCGGCGGCGATGGTGGGTCAGTCAGCGGGGATGGTGGGTCAATCGGCGGCGGGCAGGATGATGGCCTGCTGCGAGGATCGGGGAGCGTATCCGGACGGGTATTACGACCTGGGCGCCGCGCTGGCGGGCGCGCCCGCTGGGACCCAAGGCCCATGCGCCGAGTTCCCGCCGCCGCAGCCGGCGGTCAGCGGGTCAACGGCGTGGTCAACGGATGCGTTGACCATGGCGGCGGGCGGCTGGGAGGCGGCGGCCAGCCTGGGGCTGCTTCCCGGGGCGTACTCCCACTGTAGGGGCGCCCCGGTGGGGATGGACCCCGGGGCCCATGGGTTGACCCACGGAGCCGCCGATGCGGGTCAGTCCGCCCCGGACCCCGGGGTCCGCGCTGGCGCGAACGACCTGCTGTTCGGCCTGCCGGAGGGGCTGCCGCAGATGTGCGGGTGAGGGAAATGGGGCGGACCGGCGTTGACAGGGGTTGACCGGTCAACGGTATCGCCCCCGCGAGAGCCGGGGCCGGGGCGGGGGGGCCGCGGATCAGGGGAGTCTCTTTTTTTTGGGCATTTTTGAATGCCGGTTTGGGCTCCAGAAGGGACCGGAAGATAGTTCCGGCCGGGAAAGGAGAATCGGGGCGAGCGGGGGCTGCGAAGAGTGACGTAAGCAGGATGAAAATACTTTGAAACCTGGCGGGAAGGAGGTGGGGAGGCGAGTCTGCCCCTGACGCCTGGGTGTGTTGTTGGAGCCTTGAAGCCACTGTGAGGCCGGCTCCGCTTTCTTTGTTACTGTGTGCACCGAGAAGAACACGAGTTCTTGATAGCTGGGGCGGGGAGGGGTGTATGCAGCTGGGACCATGTGATCAGTGCGCAACGCTGGGCGCAGATGGGCCGCGGCCCCGCAGACAGAGAGGCCTTAGTCGTGATGGCAAGAATTGGTTACGGCCGGTACCGCGCGGGTGTGCCTGCGCCAGACAGGTGTCCGCACTCAGGCTTGACGAAATCGGGGCCCTCTCACGGGGGCGGGGCGAGGTGCCCCGGCCAAGGCGCGCTGATTCAAAGGCTTCAGTTTGAGTGCGAATCTGGGTGGAAGGCGGCGCAGCCGGCGGCGGCCGTCTATGTAGTATTATGGGGACGTGCAAGGGGAAACGGTTAAATACGTTTGATTTAATGCGGTGTGTCGACTTTCAGGACACGGGGACCGCTCAGAGGAGGGGTTGTTTGCGCCGGCTGACCCACGCGGGGCTGACCGCCGCGGCCGTCGCGGGTCAGTTGAAGTTGAAGACGGGGCGGCGGCTCTGAGGTGGGCGCCGGCGGGCGGGGGGTCCGAGCTGGCAGGCGGCCTGATGCAAGAAACGCAAAAACACTTCGAAACTGGTGGAGAGGATTAGGAGTAGGACGTGGGGGCTATTTTTATCCCTCTTCCCTCGGCGGGCGGCCGGCGAGGGCAGAAAAACAGCAAATAAGTGTCGGGAGAACTGGCAGCATTTCATTTACGTCGTCTTTCTTTAGGTCATCTCTCCTTGTTAGTTAGTAAGCTTAGTCTGCACTCCAAGGGGAAGGCAGTCGCCGTCGTGGGGCGGGGAGGTGGGCCCGGGGGCCCCGCTCCTGGCTCGACACGCGGTTCCCTGGATGCAGTGCGTTAATCGTCATTAATGGAATCATTATACGGGCCCTTGCGCTCCTACTAGGAGCCGTCCCCTAGTTCAGGGGACGGATGACGTCCGGCATGTGTGTTGGGCGGGAAGCGGGTGTGGGGCGACGCCTGGAGTGCGTGTGATCATCTGTGATCTGGATGATCCTGCACGGATCAATGACGGGAGTGCTGCTGACTAACCTGCTGACATGACAGGGGGAGAGCTGTGCTTGGTAGCAATGGGGTCGAATTTCGAACGCTCGCAACCCATCGGCAGCCGCCGGGAAGCTGTCAGGATGCTGTCAGGAAGCTTCCGGGAAAGCTGCTGCATTGGCGCGGCGCGCGGACGCTTTGTGCACTTCGAAACGATGATATTTGGGCGGTGGGGGCCCGTGTACACAAGTGGGGGTGGGGTACTGGACTTCATTATTTGGGTGAATATCGTGGGTCGGCTTTTACTAATGGGTGATGACTCATTGCGCAGGAGACGGAATGTGCCGAGTAGCCAGCAAGGAAAATGGTCCGGCGCGGCCGGGTGAATGAGATTCGGGCCGGTCAACGCAACTCGCGGCCTGGTCAGCAATTTGCCGGGGCCCTGGGGCCCAATCATTGCCGTGCCCCAGGGGCCCGAGACGAACACTTACCTGAACCATGTGGGCTTTACTAACTGTACCTTATGGGGCGTGTGCGCGCTCTTGTGTGCGCGCGATAGTGTGTGCGTGAACGGACGGTGATGTCTCCAATGCGGTCGATGAGGTTTGGGTGGAATTTAGGAATGCCTAGAATTGATTGTCGGACTTGTAATTTGTAGATGGATACGATGGCCGGCGTGGATGCCGCCGCGCTCTGCAGAGCGCGGCGCGTTGCTGGCAGCGACGGCGATGGTCGCCGGGGCGGCGCAGGCAGGGGGCATTCGGCATGAAGATTCTGGATCTTCAGCATTTACGCATCCCCCGCTTCCTGCGCCCCCCCCCCCCCGCGCGCCCTGCTCTCCCCGCGCCCGCCTCCCCCCGCGCCCGCCCGTGAAACAAGAATGCAGCTCCATTAAATGGTGAAGTATGTGAGGCGTTAAAAGCGCGTTCGGGCTGCCCCACGCTATCTGCTGTCGTTGATGGAATCGAATGGAGCAACGGATCAGATCACGTGGATCAAACAGATCAGATCAAGTGAAGAATCAGCACCCCAAAGTGTTGTGCCTGCATCAGCCAGAACGATTCCCGATATCCAAACAGGTGCTAAATTCTTCTGCGCACAGATAAATGTGTACATCATGTGGCTTTGGTTATGCAGCCAAAAGTTATGCTAAAACCACGCAACCCGACGCTTCAAAACTGTCGCCCTGAAACCATGTCGGGAGTCGAGCCGCTCCGAACAAGCAGAGTATGTCACAACATATCAGAGTAAGAACATATCAGTATAGAGCCGGACGCCACATCCTTTGAACGCACGGCACCGACGCTGCACCCTCTTGATACACAGCAACTTCCTTCCGTTCCATTCCGTTCCCTTCATGGTGACTTCACCCCGCTGGCCGTCGATTGCAGGCGCGCAGCATTGGGTCAACCGTGCGCGCTCCACCACAGCAATCCCACCTCGCGCACTCTGTCTGGGATGGTGAGTGTTTTTGGTCCCTTTTGAACCTCTCAAAGTCGCTCAGCTTCAATTTGACGCTAAGTTAGCCTAAGGGGGGGAGGGGGGGGACCAGACCTGTAGCGCTAAGGTATTATGTATTACCAATTTCCACACAATGGCCTCGCTTGCAAGACTGTGGCTGCCACAGCACTCGCTCGCGGTCGGCGTTTTTGTAAACGCCTTTGGGCCTGACCAACAAGGACTGGACCTCGAGCACATGTGCACAAGCGCTCCGTGGCGCATATGGACTTCACAGGGGCTCGTTTACAAGTGAGCCCCTGTGCAAACTTGCACATCGGTGGCTTGGCTTGATCGACCTTGAGAAGGGTTCTGAAACGAGCCGCCGCTGATCGTTCCAGGACCGAACGAAGAGCAGCCCCGACCAGAGGAGTGCTGCCTTTAAATACCCTGATTGCCGCCGGCATGGGAACTAATTTCTACCACGAATCTCGCCACGAAAGCCACCCATCGCTCGAGCCCACCGATGGCAGAAAGTGCGCCGAGCACCTGCCAACTCACGACCTCCTCCGGCGACCGCAGGTCTACAAAAGCGCCATTGCGCATTCACGAAACCGGCCGTCCCTATCATGGCAGGTACCCAATGCGCTGGCGTCCGAAGAGCACAAAATGCCTCCAACCTCAAATCCAGCTCTTGAGCATCTTTGGCAATGGGCGGAAAGTGGTGGAGGTTTCAGCAGTGACGTGGTGCCATTGCCCATTGATCAATGTCATGACTTAATGCGGAGCAACGCTGCAGCAAACGCCCGCACGTCAATCTTGGGCAGCGCTGATGTGCAACGTTGCGTCGATGCTGATGCACTGGCCTTGCTGCACCATTACTCGGCGTTGCATCAGTGGTGTTTTTGAGAGTACTACAGAGTGTGGAATATTGACGTAGAGTATTGATACATTGTATTGATGGAGTGCCGATGCTCTGTACACAGCATTGCATCGGCGCCTGCCATTCTTCCAGAAGTTCTCTGACCTGCCATTGGATGTGCCACAGGTGCTGCTCCAGGGCTTCATGTCTTTCACCGTTAGAAAACTCAATTTCCGCGACGCTGACTGCGATGCATTTTTACGCCAACTGACGCCATCGCAGTCTCATTTAAGCCATTGTAAAGGCCAGGGTAGCGCCACATAATGTCAAAATGGCACTGCAGTTGGCATCGCAAAGTGGCGTTTCTGCGAATGTTCCAGGTCGACCAGCGGACCTTACACGTGCTCTCGCCTCTACGTCCATCTCAGGCCCCTGCGTCAGGGAGACAGCTGGACGGCGCGAACCGGTCTCGCAACGTCCACAGACGCATGGATGGTCTGCTGAGGCAAGCTCCACCAACGGAACTTTAAATGAAACATGTACTTAAAACACCTACTATTAAAATTTTCACGCAGGCTCCGTAAATGAAACGTTCCATTCCGCAAATCTGTTAAAGGGCAGGCATTGATGCGATGCCGTGGCAGCGTTGTCATTGCCGCAACGCCCGGCAACGCCTCAGCGAATTCCCATGTGCCAATATATTGACGATATATATCGATATCGATATCGATATGTCGATATATATCGACAAAGGCTCATGCGCGTGCCAAGCTTGCTGCGGTACTCTCGGGCGATGCATGAATGGCACTGTGGAGGGCCCGCTGCATCAAAGTCTGGCTTTTGGCCTGACGTGACGGGGAGCGATTGAACCCTGTCCCTCCTGGTAAAAAACGGTAGATGTTGGGGCAGCATTGCGTGTGGATCCTCACTGATGCAACGCCGAACAGTGGCGCAGCAAGACCAGTATATCAGCATTGACGCAAGTTGCGTCACGCAAGGCTCGCACGCACTTCAGCGCTTGTCAGTGTTGAACGTTGGACATGTTGTGAAGCGTTGCCCTGCAGAGCATAATGGCGGTGCAGCCACAATATTGCCTCGATGCCTGCTGTTTTTGCAGATGCCGGAGGCGCCCCCCGCCGCGCCTGGCCCGAACTCTCGCGCCCCGTTCGCATAGGCTTCCGTCCCACACCTTCGCGCGTTCAACACTTCTGCACAGCCAACTAACGCTTGGCCTTTTTTGCGGAACAAACAATGAATAAAGAAATGAATTTTAACAGAATTTTTGCAGAGCAATGTCGAAAATCAAACAGCGTTCTGGAAATAGTTTGGGAGCAAATGCGTAACGGTAAAATTGTTTGATGCGGAAGGGTTGAATATACTGTATGACCCGCTCTTACAATATGATAGTTCGCAGCGAATAAGTGCGGCGACCACTCGCTCACATCCACAGAACAGTCGGAGCCACGTCAGCGCATGCCCCGTGCCTCCCATGAAGGCGGTCGCGCGTCGCGTACAGTTCCAGCTGAGCAGCTGAAACAGCGAGCATGGCACCCCGTCCTTGCGCCCAACAAGAAACTCCCACGCATGAGAGATTCATGTCATGTTATTAATGGCATGTTTTTACTGCTGTAGTTTTAAATGTGGGTAAATGTGTAGATGTGTATACAGTGGGGTGGCCTCTTTAGGGCCGTCCTGAATAAGGCCAAACTGTCAACAAGGCCAAAATCCGCCATGTCATGTGGCACGACCAAAAGTGCTGGAAAGACGCGGCCACAGGCAGTTTGAGCGTGTGGGGGGCGCCGCCATGCCTTGAAGGCAAGAAGTCCAGACAGCCCCGCGGCACCCCCCAGCCGCCACACTACACCATACACAATTGCTCTGGGCGTGGTGGGTACGTCCACGGGATCTGTGGAGAAGTCGATCCCGATGGCGATTCAGAAATGGATCGTGTGCGTAGCCTTTGCTACGATCGGGTTGTTGTGCTACGTCGGTCCATTGTCGACAAGGGGCAGAATATGGGCGAGTTGCTGCCACCGTTCGATGCTATGGACGTTCAACGTCCTTGATCAGCATGACCAAGGTCAAGTATTATTTGATAATGATTCCGGCATTGCCAAACAATTGAGTAAGGACAGTGCCCATGGCTCTCGAATCAATGCGGGTGATGGGGACTGGGGCGTGTGAAAACGCCACCTTGGCTCTAGATCTGCGAGCGAGCGAGTTAATTCTCAACTTCCCCGCGCCGCTTCCCCACTCACGAAGGCTTCTGCAGCCGTGTTGTAAGGCTGGCTCCCGCGTCCACGACAATCAGAATGTCGGGATGTGAGTGCTCAAGCTTGCCGGGCCGTTTCTGCCCCTGGGCGGCAAGACACTGTGCCGTGCGGGGCGCTGGCAGCCCAGGGACACTCGGGTACTGCGGACACCGGGAACTCGGGCTTTAGCGCTGTGTTACCGTGGGTGCAGGGGCGTTCGCAACTACATAGCACCTGTCACCCAGTTCAAAACCACCCTCCTTCGATTGGACGATCGCCAATTGACAACCAATGCTACCAAGTAAACTACTACGCTTCTCATCGAGCAACGCATAAAGTACTAACAATATTTTGACATCAGAATACCCTTAAAAATTATCAATATGTGCACTATATGATGATATATGTGCCGTACATGGCTCCTATAGCCTTAAATGTGCTGCGGACCTCAATAAGGCCAACGGTCAATAAAGCCGGTGAAATGGTGTGGCCACGGGGCGGCCTTAAAGAGGCCACCCCACTGTACTGTTACAACAGTATTGCTAGCGTTACTGGTATACTGGTATTACTGGTATTGCACTTGTAATGCAATATGCCAGGTGAGAATGTTCTCACATGAGATATTGGTGTCATGAGTGCCTGATCAGAGAGTGATCGCCGTTGATGCGGTGAGCCCCTTGGCTTGCACGGATCCGCAGGTGCGTCACCCTGGCAGCCGTCTTTCCGGCTAGCAGAATCGTAACGACTGGCTGTTACCTGACTCATGGCCCCCTATACTAGTTAAAAATCGGCCAAAGTTCACGGTCCTGAAAATCGTGTACCGTGTCACGCGTGTAAAAATCGTGTACCAATCATGTAATGGTCCCAAAGTACAAGGCTGCCGCTGGTACACAGTTCAAATATCCTGCAACGTTGTTGTTTATGGTGTTGTCCATAGTGGTAAGGTGGGCCACTTTCGTGTAGTACACAGGGCTGAAAACTATGCGATTTTAGCAATCGTGTGAAATCGTGCTCCAAAATACCCCAGTTTTACACAATTTTATCACGATTTCACGCTATTGTACACCCTATAAAAGGTCGAATTCTTACCAGTGATGTGGATGCCTGAGTTGGGGGTGCTAAAGCACTGGTAGAGAAATTTGAGGCCAAGCTTGGGGCCCACCGTGCCTGTGCTGCACCTCAGTGTCCCCACCTTTTCTATATATATTTTTTCAGTTTTCCCCTCTTTTGCCGTGTGTAAACATTCGCAATTTCCCCAATCTTCGCTTCATGTTTTCCCGATTTGCCTGCAGATGCCAGATGGAGCAAGGTGCCTGAAGCCCTGAGAGTTGGCAGCACTTCCGCATGTTTTTGGGTTGTGCTGAACCGGAGAGCTCTGTTCCTTCCGTCTATAAATGAACGTAATTGAAAAGGTAATTGCCTTGTGTTTTCTTCCTTTCACCAGTCGGTGTATGCATACCTGAGGATAATCAGGCACCATAATGCACCACTGGCACTCGGCGCATTCACTAGCAAAAAAAGCACCAAACAACGCATTTTGAGAACACATGTACGTGCATTCAATCGGTGTTCTGCATGCCGAAAACACGGAAATAGCCCATACCCGCAAACTTTGGGCACGTTTGAACACGATTTATTTGGCCCTTTTTTTCCTAGTGATTCTCTCGTGCCATGGAAACCGAACGCATTTGGCGCTTTTTTCTTACGACCGCCATGGTGATGTAATTGGTCCATCGCGCCCAGTGGACTGCTGGCAACGTTGCGCATAAACCGGTCGAGCACCTAAGTTCACAGGTGGCCCTCTTCTGTGATTGGCACTGTGCAGTGACTGTCGCGGACTCTTGAACCTGCGCCCAATCGGGCCACATCTCGTTCGTGTGTGAACGACTGGAATCGGAACTGGAATCAGAACTGACAAATGTCGACCTTGAGCCCCCCAAGATATCTGCCCCCGCCAGATGATCTGCGACTTGATTTGGATGCCACACACTGTCCTTCCCACCTCGTAGTTGCACGCCCACTATGCATCACCCACGACATTCCCACCGCCATTTGCGCGGCACACACACACTGTGCGTCGCTCACAGCAAGCCCAGCACCAGTTGCGCGTGATTCCGTCACACCCTCAACGCACACGAACGCATACTCGTAGTTTGCACATGCCTGCAACATCTTGACACAAACGCCCACATCAACGCATCACGCACAACCCACCCATCATCTTGGCACAGACGCGCACATCAACGATCCACCGCACACAACCCGCCTTTCACAGAGCGCGTGTAATCGCATCACACTCGACACACACGGGCCCCCCTTCTTCGCTGTGCACGGCCCCAGATACCTCCACACAAACACATCAATGATTCATCACACAAAACATGCCCATAACAATTTGTGTGTGATTGCGACGCGCGCACATCACAGCGGCGCCCCGCCTGTACATTGGGCGGCCCCGGCATCTGCGCCCAACGCATGCATCAGTGATTCAGTGCACACAAGTTGTGTGTGAGACAGCCCCACACCACGCACATCAACGGAGACACAATGCAATCACGGCAATTACTCTCCACACCGGTGCAGACCCTCACCCAATGTCTCACGGCCATAACGCGAGACCGCCGCCAGTGTGAGGGCCAGTCACGTGACGCCAGTCTCACCGGATGCCGGCCGCCCGCCTTCCCCCCCCTCCCGCCCCCTTCCACCACCAAACCCCCGACAGCGACCCTCCAATACATAACCCAATACCTGGTCCCATGTTGCCCTCGCCTTACGCGCCCAGTACGTGAGCGACCCCGGGCTCTCAAACCTACCACAGCCCGACTGGCGGGGCCACAAGTGGGCCTGCGGCCCGGGGCCCGACCGGGGCGGCGCCCGGGGCCCAGCATTCGTGGCAGCCAATCTGCCGGATACCTGCCCGCCGGTTTCTGTGAGTGTGACCCAGCTGCTCCGCACCCGGACCGCAGTACCAGCCACCACATACCCGGCGCCGCCAGTCTCACACGATACCCTCCCAGTACTTTACGACGCCAACTCGCGGGCTGTGGGGCCCGACGTCACACTGCATTGGCTCATCGCTGCCGGCGGCGACCGGACGGGTCGTTTGTGTGACCTGGGCATAGGGGCGTGGCTGACGAGTGGCTGGGGCACCCCTGGCTGGGGGGTATTTATTGGTAGCGCGTGCTCCAGGGCCCAGCGACCAGCCCCGCGCCCCCTCCCTCCCGCCCTCCCTGCCTGCGTGCTCTCCGCGCTTGCCGCGTCGAGCGATCAGCTCCGCCGAGCCGCGTCGATCGAGTCCAATCGCAGGCATGGGCGTGGACGTGAACGGCTCCGTGAATGCCAGCACGGACCGCCTGACCTCGGGGACGGCCTCCGGGTTCGAGGTCGATGGGGGTTGCGGCAAGCAGGGCAAGTGCCGGGCCGCCGCGGCGGCCACCGGCCAGTGGGTGAAGAAGTACTTCTGGGAGGGGCAGCACCTGGCCGAGGGCGCCGCCAAGGGGACCAAATTGAGTGAGGATGAGCCGGAGGGGGACAAGACGTTCCTACAGAGGCACCGGCGGGTGATTGGATTCGTGCTGCCGGGGCTGTTCTTCCACGTGCTGTGGTGGTCGTGGATGGGCAGCCAGGACCTGTTCCACCTGTTCGGGGAGCGCTCCGGTGGGCAGGACATCCCGAGGTACTACATGAGCATTACCATGCTGTTTGGGTCGATGATCGCCGGCGCGACGAGCGAGGGCGGGGCCAGCGTGGCCTTCCCGGTCATGACGCTGGTGTTCTCGATTCTGCCCGCTGTGGCGCGGGACTTCTCGTTCATGATTCAGTCCGTGGGCATGACCTCGGCGGCGTTCACCATCCTGTTCATGCGGGTCAAGATCGAGCTGCACTCGCTGATATGGTGCACCATCGGCGGCACGGCGGGGATCATCTTCGGCCTGGAGGAGGTGGCGCCGCAGCTGACGCCCAGCTACTCCAAGATGTACTTCGTGGTCATCTGGTTCGCCTTCGCCTTCTCCCTGTATTGGCTGAACCGCAACCACGGCCGCCCCGTCTTCGACGAGGTGCCGGACTTCGACAGGGACGTGATCAGCGTCCTCGGCTGGCAAATAAAGTGGAAGGCGCTGGTGCTGCTGGGCTTCGGATTCATGGGCGGCGTCTTCTCCGCCATGGCGGGCAGCGGCATCGACATCTGCTCCTTCTCCGCGCTCACCCTCCTCTTCCGGGTGTCCGAGAAGATCGCCACGCCCACCTCCGTCATCCTCATGGCCATCAACACCTGCGTGGGCTTCGCCTACCGCGAGTTCGCCATGGGCGGCGTGCAGGAGGACGCCTGGGGCTTCTTCGCCGTGTGCGTGCCCATCGTGGTGATCGGCGCGCCCCTGGGCTCCCTGGTGGGCTCGCACTTCCACAGGCTGGTCCTGGCTGGCTTCGTGTACGTCACGGACACCGCCCAGCTGGTCCTGGCGCTCATCGTCGTCAAGCCCTGGCTGCACGCGAACGACGGCGGCAAGAAGGACAACGACGACCCCACCCACCTGACCCTCACCTCCGGCGCCATCCTCGTCGCGGGCGCCATCTTCTTCAAGCTCATGGAGATGGCTGGCAGAAAGCTGCTCGACATCCAGGAGCAGAGGATGGCCGAGGCCGAGGGCATGCAATTAGCCAAGAGGAAAGTGGACGACGAGCCGGTGTGACAAAGCCTAGGGGCGTGTGGACTCTGTTTAGAGTGAGACAAACGATATTCTTATTGGGGCTTAGGTCCACCGGGGCGGCCGATGTGGACACTTGCTTGACCGGCACCTTTGTTCCGGAGTGAGATAAAACGATCCGCTGGGGGGATGCGCATGTGCAGGGGCGACGTGAACCCTTTTCGCATTAATTTTTTTTCGCGGCCGGCCTGCTGCCGGCCGCCGCGGGCGCGTCTGAGAGGCAAGGGCGGGGCGGGAGGCGCGCCAGCCGCGCGACCCCGCACCCGCGGGAACGATGTGACCTTAGCTCGGCCTGTACGTTATTCTGTGCTGGATTGTAAATTTATTGTGCATCAGGACTCGCCTGTGCGTGGACTTGTCGTGGCGTTCCAGCCTGTTCGACCTGCAGCCAAGCAGGCATGCAGTCATGAACAGTGATTGTTCGATGTGCCAGTCATTGCGCCGTGAGGGAAAGGAAATCGGGAAGAGCGAACGGTGTGGTCCAATATTGGCAGTGCGCTCAGCCGTTGTCTTCGCACAACCGACGAGGATTCTTGCCTCATGCGTGCCCACACGCTGCACGAAGCGGAGTGTCCCTTCTGCCGTTTCCACAAATTTCTCGTCACCCTGCCGACCACACCTCGCTCAACACAGCCTCACGTGAACACGATCAGTGTGGCACCCGACGAATTGCGCGCCAAATTGGTTGGGAATGGCGATGCCATCTTACCGAAACTACCGCCCCAAATGTGTGACAGACGGACAAACTCAACGTTCTGATGGGCCAGCCCGTGGGGTAACCTGCGGCTGGACCAACAACCGGATTCGCACTGCTGGTGGCGACGCCTTCGAATCTGCTCAGGCTGCCTCATTGCACAGTGTTGCTATGCGTTGGAACATATTGCCTAAATAGGTTGAAACCTTGTCACTCCCCAGATCCTCCAATCTGGCCTCCTTGACCAGGTTCCCTTCCGCCTGACAGACCCATCAATACTGGCTTACAGACCGCTTGACTTGAAGGCAATTGTGAAAGAGTACGGCAGGCTTCATTCAGTTGGAAGCAGAGCGCTTGAAACCAAGCTGTGCATGACATGGAGCTTCTGAAGGGCGAGGCTCACTCTGAGAATCACCAAAAAGGGGATTAAAAACAGTGCTTTGAAGATTGCACAGGAAATTGCCCTCTTTCGCACCGTTGCCTGTACTGATACGCGTTCTTTAGCAATGCGGTGCTTCTGCAGAAGTGCATTTCAAACACGAGCGGAAACTTCATGAAATGGGCAACAATAGGCCAGCGACCTTGGAACGTCGATTGACCCCGGCCCCTTTGGATGGTATCAATGTTCTCTTGACAGGACGGCAAGACACGTGAAGCTGCTGGCGCCTGGAGCACTGAACGCAACGTGCCACTTGTAAAGGAAAAGAAATGGGCACTGTTGCCACCGCCCCATTTCCAATCCCAATACGTTCCAGTACAATTTGATATGCTTCTGCTTTCCTGAACGGCTTGGGCTCCTAGCAACCGGACATGGTGCCCCGTATATCAAGCTCCGGTGCTCCTCCTGCGTGCAGTGTATTCCCCCGGACTAGCATTCCCTGACGCATGCATACGTAGCAAAGTGGTGGTACAGCAGTACAATTTGATATGCTTCTGCTTTCCTGAACGGCTTGGGCTCCTAGCAACCGGACATGGTGCCCCGTATATCAAGCTCCGGTGCTCCTCCTGCGTGCAGTGTATTCCCCCAGACTAGCATTCCATGACGCATGCATACGTAGCAAAGTGGTGGTACAGCAGTATAAGTAATCACTCAGAAACCACACGTGCTGCTGTCATAATGACTCGTTCTGGCGGGGAGTGGCGGCCTGGAGCAACACACTGTTGATCATTATGGACGAAATAGACTCTTTGCCAGACGTGAATGAATTTTCTCGATGCTGACGTTGTCCTCCAGACCGACAAAACATCCAATGGGTCTGAAAGCGCCACACCGCGTTGTTTTAGGCCGCCGCTCTTCCAGGTGGAACACCGCTCTTATGCTCGAACGCGGTGCATCTCAACGCGAATGTGCTGATAGGCATGCCTGCTTCTGACCTCTCATGCAGCAACGGTTAAATTTGTCTTCGACGACACACATCAGCGACATGTACCTTGTACCTTGTACAGCGACTTGCACCTTGTAGGAAATGAAGGGTACCGACATCTCGTGCGCCATCGACAAAACACTCCATGGCTTGAGCGCAACAGAGGCCTTCCAGGCAACCCGCCGCTTGCTGCCTCGAATGTGCCGACAATCTTGTCCTCTGCGAGCAGCCCACCTTGGCCAACGGCTCCAAGTAGCCCAAAGCCGGAAGAAGTGAAGCAGCCATGCCGTGTCTTGTGAGACACACCCAAGCATGACGAATTCCAAGAATTCCTTGAGATTGCGGAAACATTCTCAGGAACATTCTTGGAGAATATTCCTCGAGAATATATAAGAGAACAGCACCTGGAAGAACTCCCGCAGTTCCTGGTTCCTGGGGATGATTACTGCTCTCCCTGTGCTACACCACCGTCCCTGTCAAACTCCCCGCTTTTGCCGCCGCTCTTGCGCTCCAAGCGCAGGTCGCTGATGACGCTGCCCTTGGACGCCGCCTTGACCATGTCGTACACGGTGAGCGCGGCCACCGCGGCGGCCGTCAGGGCCTCCATCTCCACGCCCGTGGGCCCCAGGGTCCGCGCCTCCGAGCGCACGCCAACGCACCGGTTGGCGTCGTCCAGCGTCAGGCGCACGTCGACCTTCCTAAGGCACGGCCGCCAGGCGCTAGGGTTAGGTCAATTTGACCGCGAATGTCGGGCTGGACTGTCGCACGGAAGATTCGATATGTGTATCCGCTTGGTTTTCCTTTCTTTGCTTTTCTAGGGCTCCAGGAAATATTGCATCGCATTTGTGGGTCCACGTGCCAACCCCGTCCTAATAAGTAATTAGGACAACGAACTACTAGAAAGCACGCCCGAACAGACTGCAAAGAAGGATTTAGGCAACATTACAGTTCGTATGGATTATCGCATGTAGCAACAATGAGCTGCTACAATTCGCCAGTACTCTGAACCCCAATTTGGGAAAGCACAAGTCACGGTCTTTGAAAACGTGGGAACGGCAGAGAAGATACTCCACTGGCCCACATACCACACCAGTGCCCAAATCCCAAATCCCAAAATATACGATGTAGCACTTTACAGTACAAAGAGAATAAAAAGACACCGGCAAAACAGCCGCAGCACACAAGCGCCGTCGCGCGACCCCACCTGAGGAGAACGTTGTGGCACAGCGGTATGAGTAGCGAAGTGTGCTTTGCACCCATGATGCCCGCCAGCTGAGCGACGCTCAGGACGTCACCCTGCGACAGGTCACATCGCCGGCATTCCCTCATTCCACGTTCCAAGAATTTTGCCACGTCGTGCACTTGCATTCCAAGTACGAACTATGGTATTTGCTCAGAACTGCATTTGCCTAATGCCAGCCGTGTTGATAATTAGGTCAAGTGGAGACATCTATTCATCAACCCATTTTAGGAGCTACTTCCACAAGTGATGCCCGTGAAAGGGTTTTCGATGGTCCTCAGAAGCATTCAGTGATTTGCCTTGAGGATGGCACAGCATCGAGTCCTTTCATGCCCTTTTGAGTTGGCACATTGTCTTATTATCTCGTCATCTTACCGACTGTTGTCCGATCTGCTCCAGCAGCTTTAGCACGTTCAGCGCCAACACACCCGCATCTCACAAAGTCGCTATCCGAATGGTGTGTAGTACAGTGCACATGAAACCACGCCATCAAGCATGGAAGGTACAGGGGCAGTGTTCACAAAGTATGAGCACAGAGCACAGCATGCAGCTTCCATGCTGAGCATGGCAATCAATCGGCACAGTACGGGTAGCACAGCGCTTTGTGCTCTTACTTTTGCATTGGTGTTTTCCTTCACCAGCAGGTAAGCAGCCTCCTCCAGAAACACCTTTGCGGAGGCCACTGCCACTCTCAGTGTGTTGCCCTTCTGCAATGTTTGGCAGTCGGCGGTCAGTCACCATCAACACAAACGTCCCATCTGTGGGGAGAACCAACTGCTCGCAACAACACATCTGGCTAATGTGCAAAATTTCCCTAGTTGTAAGAATTCTGCGTATTCCACACAGTTTTGGACCACATTTGTACAGCGTCAACTTTTTGAAAAAGAATTGGTTGAAGATCGCTGAGCTAGTACTGCACGAATGCCTACATCTATTCTACTGTAGTATTGAGATACTCAGTGCTGTGGTACTTCACTATTTTTGCATATTGATGCACTACAACAGAGCATGTGGCACAATTCCCCGGTGCATGGTTACCTCACATTGGACACGTCAACCATGGCCGCCTTGCCTCCACCATCGACGTGCGTCAGTCTGGCAACACCGCCATCAAGTGCCACCCCAGAAGCCTGCTCCGCAACCTCTGCAGAAGTGTGTGCAGGGGTAAAACTGGCAGCAGCAACTGGGCCACAATCTGGCAGGGTCGATGGCCATGATCTGGTCCTGGTTCAACACATGTTGCATCACCAGAACGTGATTGCAAGCACAGCTTGTGCGAGTTGGAGCAAGACTTGCGATGGCATGCAGGGCACAATGTTCTACCAGTGTGGCAGCAGCTGTACCATCTGCAAGGGGATCAGCGAGTCTTAGATGGTGTGCATCTGATGTTAGGCAGGGGGTAGACTGATGGAAGGGCTGGCAGCACACCTGGCTGGCCCATGCAGCCATGCACAGTGGTGCACACCTTGCAGTCATATTTCTTTGGTCGAAAAGCCCCTGTTCACTCTCAGACTGGACTGGTGCTGGAGACTTGCGGTGCCCCAGACCTGCATCGGGAGCCCGCTGAACGTCTGCCAAGTGCTGCAGTCCAAATACATCATCCATCTCCTGCCATCCAGACACATCGCTTGCTCAAAGACCAATGCTTGCATAAGACATTCATGACTGTATTTGTGCTGGCGCACTTGCATGCATGACATACATATTACAGTGGCACCATTTGCATACAGTAGGATGTACTCCTTCTGTACATACATAGTACTATGTGCTGCATTTCGTAATATGTTGCACCAAGCCTCTGATAATTGCATGGCAACCTTCTTTAATAGAAGGTGTGCATTCACTCGTGGTCACAGTCCCTGGCACTTTGTTGTCTGTTTGTGTCTCTTTTCAACATATCTGTTTTTGTCAAATGGCACATATGTCCATATGCAATCTCCCATGCTATCTGCGATACAAACAGCAAGCCTCTGTTGCAAAGTCACATAGACATACTTCAAGACCAGTTGTACTTGCACAGATTGTTTTGGTCTTGGCACAGACACAATAGGCAGCGAGGTGGAAATGCCAGAAACAGGATGTGCAGCAGGTGTTCCCCTCCCAGCTGTTTGGCAGTGTCTTCCCTCAATGCAACAGACAATGTGGGAGTTTCCAACCGGGCAAAGGGTTCAGCTCTTGCAATGTCAAGATTCCATGGATCCAACATGGTTGCTGCCAACGATCGAAACAAGCGCAGATATGTTTTGCCAGGATAGCTGGGTCGTCGATGCTGCTGAACACATATGTCTGAAAGTGGCAAAGATGCTGCTATTGCAGTGTCAAGACAAGGGCGATCAGAATCCCATCTGCAAGGCAATTTTCCTGTGCCAACATATCCCATCAAATGTAGGCCTCCAAGTGTGCCCCTTGTGACAAGTCTTGTTCCCAAGATCTTTTCTTCGGCTTCGATGCATGGAAGTGAGCAAAAACAGACACTGTGGGAAAGAGCAACTGCATGTGCTTGTGACCAATGCTTTTCAAGTCGTTGCATTGTTGTGCCACACCTGTCCTGCGTTGTTCCTTGCAGCTATTCTAAAAATGGCTGTACTTTTGTCATCCGAATAAGCACATTTGGTTGTGGCATCAGCACTATGCAATGGGCAGTTCCATAGCCCCGCTTCGCATTGCGCATCGCAAGGATGTGAGCATCCAAGCAAATGATTGTTGTAATCGTATGTGCAGCCTCATGGACATGACCCTGATGTCTTGAGTATCACATTTAATCTTCATACTATTTGACAAGTACAATAATCAAGAAGAAGAAGGAGCAAAACACACTCTCCAGCATGCTTATGCAAATTTCCCTTACAAGTCACACTGGCCAATCAGGCAACTGTGATGCCACAATGTGCCATTCAAGAGGCCAGCACCAGCCAGGTGTTGTTGGATCGCAGTTCAGACCACCTTCCATGCCTCAAACTTGCAGTACTGTGGGACTTCAGCACTGACATTGAAATCACAACGGGAAGAACCACTGTGAATGTGGAGTTGGATTTGGTGTGTTGTTTTCAGCCAAGCATTGCCGGGTCCTTGCAGGTTGCTGGTTCTGTTGAGGCTATTCAAGGCTGTCAATTCAACAGAGACACTTGCAACTGCCAGTGAGTTGTTTTCACATTGCTACGATGGGTACATTCATTCAACCATGGACATGAACAGCGCCATCAATTGCCAAACAAGTGCAAAATCGTCACTTTGCAAAATGTCAACGGATACAGTCAAAGTAAAATTTCATATCACCAGTGTTGACTACAGATACACTGTCATTTTTAAGGTGAACCATTGCTACATTCTGCAACCCCAGTGTTGCAGCACAAAGAACCAACATGAAATAACCAAAATAGCAAAAAAAGAGAGAAAGGTAATACAACAACAATGCAGGTGAAGGTACCAAGTAAAGGTAGCGCAACAACATATGCAGCAGACACAACAAACACCCAACTGCCTGCAAGCCACCAAAACCCCCAAGAAAGCCGACCCACAGTGCAGAAAGGTCAGGTCTGTAGGTATAGCACACCTTGTTGCACATCTCCACCTCCTTGTCGACGCTCCATCCTTGAGCCGCAGGAATGGATGCTGACTGGTCTTCCCCAAGCAGCATCTGTGGGGGCCATCCTGGCTGCTGGATGCAATGCAGCACAGTGGTGAGGTGTGATACTCTTTTCTCACAGAGAGGAATATGCACCACACATCCCTATCTTCTGGGTGTACAGTCTGTTGCAGTTCGTACTGCTCCCTTTATTGCTGCCAGCTTTGAGTGCCTGGGCAAGTCTAAAACAACTGTTCTTCTTGTTCCATCGTTGAGTCATTGATGCAACGCCCGAACTGACCATTTTGTTGCACCAGCAGAATGTATGGAATAAGTCAGTCCAGTTGTGTTGCATGCATTCCCCCTGCAATGCTACATCGATGCTACCACATCGCTATTCGCAGCATGACAAAGAGGTCCAAAAACATTCACACTCAGGAACATTCTGACCACCGCCTGACAACCTGTTTGTTTTGTTGTTAGGAATCATCCAACTCTTTCTTTGGCAAGAGTTTTCTGTCCTTGCTTCCTAGGTATAGTATCCCACAAAAGGTGCTTCAATAAGAAACTGTGAAAGATTCTTTTGTAAGGTAGAAGTTGACCCAGAAGTTGGCAGGACTGCAGATGTGCAATTCGTAGAACCAGCGCTTACAAGGGCAGTGTCCAAAATGAATTTGTTACCAACGCTGCCAGCTCTTTCCTGAGTCTCTCTAGAAAGCTCGGTTTTGAGGTTTGGGGTGCACTACCACAAAAGGGGCCTCGCATTGACGTTGAGTTGAGCAGAAAGACTACAGAGCTAAATGCATCCTGCATTCTGTAAAGCTGTGGTCTGTGAGTCAGTTCAGGCCAGAACTTGGAAATTTCTGCTATGTTTTCACCCCTGTCAAAAGTGATCAAGTCCGGTACAGAGGCTGGGACTGAAACAACTACGGATTCGTGGTAAATCGCTGGCCGGATCAAGAAAGTGCTCCACTGCAAAGGGAAACAAAGGCAAGCTGTGTGCATGCAGACACTGTTGGACAGTGTTGATGGGAAAGGAAAGCACGGCAGGATAGGCATGAAAACCCATTTGGGAATGAGCTTTGCCACAAGCTGGATCCATGTGTAACCAGCCAACACAATGTGCAAATCTCACTCTCTTGAATAGCTGACAGAGTTGTGGCTCCATACTGTTCCATGTACCTCATTGTGTGTGAACACTGTGTGTGGATTTACGCCCATCATCGCCCACAAGGCCTGTGCTGTTCTATTCTTGAAAATGTTATCCAAGGAATTTGCAGATGATGTGGTGCACAAATTGCCAGGTAAGTGACACTTGGCTTGGCTTCATGCAGCTCAGTGCTTGAATGCTGATCATATTAGGTTTGCTCTTTCAGTTCCTCCTGGGCTGTGGGCATTGCAGAAGGGGCAAGGCTGGGCACATGGAGCTACAACCAGGGGTGACAATGGATCACACCATGTGGCACATAGCTTCACCATTATGAACAAAATGTGCACAAAAGAACGATCACTGCACATGGCATTGACATTCACAGGATGTTGCTCGACAACCAGCTCATGAACTACGAACAAAAAATTTTCACAGCAACATGCAAGAAAAGTGTACGGTTGCGCCCAGACCGCGGTTGGATCCAGATAACTGTCGGTGTTGAGTGGCTTTCCTGATCCACTCGGTAGCAAAACATTTCCCGTACAAGAGAGACAGAACAGCCCCTTGAGACTTCCCTAGTTCATGGGGTCACTGTTCGATTCTCCAAAAGGCCAACACGAACTGGACAGCGGCGCAAAGCGCGCCCCGCGCGTTTTTGCACAACCGGTCGCCCCTCGCCGGACCCAAATCGAATCAGCAGCTTGCCCCAGCCGATCTGAATTCGAACGCACAGCGCGGCCCGAATCCGCGCCTGTTCGCAAGTTGGTTGTCCCAGGGTGATCTCCGGGGAAAACCCAGCGGCCAGTCCCTCCCCCACTCACCTTGGCTTCGCCTGCGTGAACCGCGCGACGCGCAGCGCTCAGAGACTCAAGAGCGCAAAGCGCTGCGGCTGACGGCGCCCTTGCCAATGCGCGTTGGAGCAGGAGCATTGATGCTCGATACCCGGTCCACTGGGTCTCTTCCGACTTGCTCAAACCAAATTGGTGTCAGGATTCACATTTTCTTTTCTTTCCGCGGGCGACCTTTAATTGGGCAGGACTGGTGTCCGTCATTTTTGGCTTGGACCATGGCTTCACACCTTTTCTTTTTGTGGGCGATGCTTTAATTGGGCGGGACTGATGTATGGTGCGTTGGATCAAAGGCCCTCCAACTCGAAAGCGCCCATCGTCCAAACGGTAGCGGCACCGAATGATCCGCTCATTCCTATTGCTGGCCCCCAGGTTGTTTTAGCAGTCTGCAGATCGCGGCCGAAACATCGCCAGCCCCTCCCGGAATAGGGCAGTGAAAGTCTCCGAAAAGGCTCGGCTGTCCCCAACCCCAGAGCGGTTGAATATCGTGGCAAAAGGCAGCGAAATCGGGTCGCTTTTGTTTTCAGCCATGTCGCTGGCAAATTGGCCACAGAAACGCGAGTGAAACCTGCCACTGGCCATGCATGTCCAGGCGCATGCAATCCTAAAGGATACGGACAGAAACGCTGAACAAAGCGCAGCGATCCCCACAGATTCAATCATAAACCCATGCAGTTCGAACGATGAGCATACCGTGGGTGCACCACGCCGAAATCCGAAATCCGTTTGGGACCGAAAACCGCTGGTTTTGAAGCCAAACTGGCCTGGGGGCACGCCACAACCCGTGTGCAAAGGCCACCACTCGGAGAAGACCAGCAATGTGCCTACAGCTTCACAAACTCTTGTTCGTTCCATTGCATCCCCGCCAAAAACGGGCAGCGCGACCTTGCGGCGCTGCGCACGTCGCGACAGCCACCCCAACTAGCACCTGGAACCTCGTACATGTCACCGCATCAGATGCACTTTGATCCTTAACGCGTCCTATCAGGCTCTTGGATTTCACGTCATATTCCTCCCAACCCGTCCTATCCCCGAACAGGTGCCCCATATTTTGCAAGCTATTACCAACCGCTCACTTGATTCTCATGCAAGGATCGCATCAACACCAAACAATACGCGGCCCAAGCTACAGGAAAATTTGCCACTTCACCCCCTACCCTCCGGCACATCAGATTCGAACAAAAACCTGCCGCACCTCACATATCTGCCGTCGGGGCGATTCGAGCGACGTGATGTCACTCAACCGGCACATCCATGGCCATTCTATCCATGTCAGCACATGGCGAAAAGTACAAGCTCTCATGCTCATTCATCAAACAGGTCATGTCGCCAATCTGGCTGCCAAATGCCACTAGAAATATCTAAATAACCATCAAGCGTTAAAGCAGAAAAGATCAATATCACACGCCTATGCAGCCCATCTTGAACCACTTTCGCATCACTTTGATTTTGAAACCCCTGCCAATTCAGACGGCCTTCGTCGCAGTTGTCATTGAGGAACCAAACGTGCAGCACGCCGGCACCTTACCTCATATTCTGATGGGCGAGCGCGGGCGTCATGTCCTTGAGTCGCTGTTGAAGTGTGATTTCAATGCACTGACGTAATGCATGCCCACAGCTGCGTGCATATGTTGCTGCTCTGGCCATGGCCTAAACGGCTATTGATGACGCTCGCCCCCCTTTGCTGTCGATGACATGATCCTCAATGTTGCATCCCAGCCTGCTGTGGTCTATCCGCTGAGTTCTGGACCACATTGTGGCCTCACGGGGCGCCAGCTTAGCGACAGTACACAGATAATTTGCCTGCCTGTCATCGTGTTAGATTGGCCCCATGTATTGGTGCACCCTGCCGAAACCTCAAACAACACAAATTACCAAAGAGTTGGGACGCCAGCAAAAGGACTAGCGACGCCCAAACGACGGCGCATTGAGGGCCCCCACACGCCTGCCCCTTTTTGGCTGGCATCCCGGCAAATGTGGAACAGAAGCGCTCCGGTGTTATATCGCGCCGAGCCAGTCCTTCCATCTGGCGCATGCTGCCATGCCAGGTGGCCGCCTGGGTAGCTTGTCTGCTGTAGAGAGGCCCTCGTTGGCTTGAAGACCCAACCCAGATCCAATTCCTTGTTGTGGTCGCATGTATGGAATAACAGCTGCCCCCGCCCTTCCCATCCTCCCTCGCCCTCCATTTCCACCCACCCCATCCACTCCTTCCGTCCCCGCCCACGCTCTGCCCCGCCCTGAGTGCGGGCTTTCTTGGTTGCTAAAGCAGCCTCCATGTGCAGCTGCCCATAAGGCTGGTGCTGCCGCCTCACTAATGTGAGGATCCAATCCTTCCACTTCTTCGAGCAGGTGCCGCCGAAGCGAGGCACCTTGATTCAGTGCGTGTGACCAAACAAGGCTGAATATTGAAGCCGAAGTGTCTCCGCCGACCAGCTTGGCCTTTGTCAGCCTAGATTTCACGTCGATCATAGTTGATCACAGCAAACTGACAGGCAATCAGGCAACGGCTCATTCCGCCAACAGCACAGGTCGCAGATTCACGTCGATCGTAACTCACCATCTCGATTGAGGGATGACTACGCTGTTCCTTAGAGGATACAAGTTTTCTGGGGCGGCTTGGACGGCAGCGCTGCTTTCCAGCCTGGCGCATGCCACAACCAGCGATACGCAGCTGAATTTAGGGAGCTTTAGCAAGAGCGCTATATGTGCTTATGGAGGAACTATGCAGTGCGAATTTCCGAGCTCTCCGACCTTGCAGAAGTGTGATCGCCACAGGGCTTCACACTTGAGTGAGCGTGGTGGTGTTGCAGCGCCCTTTTGACGCCACGCCTATGTGCTTCTTAGGCGTCTGATGTTCGTTTTCTCACGGTCGCTGTTCACCAAACCCTCATGCAACTCACTCAATCACCATGTGAGCACAATGCAACGTCACGATCGCTGCGCATGCGAAAATCGACGCGCCATCTGTTGCACGACAATGGGGCAGTGCCCACTCTCTCGGACTCGGTCCCTGCCACGTTTCCAAATCGATCGCTTGCGGCGATTGTACTTGGACGGCACTTGGACGTTCGCACACAAGGCGGTGCTCCAAGGTTTCCATGGCAAACAGGTATATGTTACCTTTTTCGTCCAAAACAAAGGCTCGGAGGGCAGCTCCCACGGTGGGTCATTCTTCTTAACCCCCTGCATGCCCCCTATTTCTTGCCCGGGCTGGCTGCTCGCCTTGTCCGAGGATCCCTGGAATATTCTCCAAGGGTTCGGATCACTATTGGCCAGCTTCCTAGATCATCCCCTGCCTGTCCCATCAGCTTTCCCAATCACTATTGTGATCCGCTACCTGTCTTCATCCCCCACGTCCAACGATTCCCACTGATCCTAGCATCAGTGCTATTCACTCATAAGTCACTGTCAAGTGCTGGCCCCGCAGCTTCCCCATCAAATAAACTATCCTTTTGCAACCACTGGATCACAACCAGCTCAATGGATTCACAGAAAGTTGTCCCATCAAAAAATCACTACCGCTCAGCACCAATTGCATCACGGTCGCCAGAACGTGTCCTCGCCTGCCCCTCCATGCCTCCGCCATGGGCTCCAGCGCCTCGATCGCACCCCCCATCGCTGGGAGGGTCTTCACATCCAGGCCGCGCCTAGCAGTCCCGCACATCGTGGATTTGAGCGTCCCTTGGGCTCACTGCACCTCTCGTGGGCATGCAAATTCCATGCACGGCAAAGCAGACCGCTGCCAGCAACGTAGCCCATGCAATTTTGCCATTGTCATCATCGTCATCGAGCCTTGGCAGCCGCGCCCTAGCATCCATGTTCGAGCGCGTCGCCACAAGTTGCCGCCGCCATGGGTGCGCCTCTGAGGCACCCTTGGAATCGGCGTCCAAGTTTGCCGTACGACATCGCACGCCATGACACACGATACATGATGGCAACCACGGACGCGCACCCCAATGTACAGGACAACTTTCGCACATTCGCCAGCTCACTCAATCATCATTATTGGTTGAACGTTGCTGCCCAACTGCACCCCACCGTTGTGGCGCCCTTGAAATTGCATGTTCTGCCCGGAATTCTGCCATAAATGGGAGCCATTTCAGAAGCAGAATGACTGCCCCTTTTGGCCTATTCTGTAGCCATTCAGCAGTTGCAACATGGCCTGCATTTTTGGTAATCTATCCAGCACTGACCGCATTAGTTTTGTGATGAACAGGCCAGCGCTTCCCCACGAATTCCGCCTTTTTCAAAGGTGCCTTTGCCACGAGCCTATCATTGTGATGATATGGCACAATGACCAACAGCGAGTTTAACATGGTCTTTGTGGTGTCTGTGTTGTGCGCTCCTCTTCTTGCACTGTCGACTCTAAATCATCTTTTCTCGGCATGGAGGTGAATCGCACATACGTGCTCAGGACGGAGTCCCCTTCGTGTGAACTGGCTCACCTTTGAAATGCAACAAATCTCACACCAGCCCTGCCCTCTTGCGGGACTCGATCGAGGGGACTTGCCGTCTGCGACAAGGGACAAGGCCGCTGAGGCCTAGCATTTGAATTCCAAGCAATGTGCATTCCGTGGAGCATGGATAACTGAACATGCGCATTCTACGCAGTATGCCACACACCCGTGCATACCGCACCGCAGCAACCACAGCAGTTCCCGCACTGCAAGTTGCAGCTAATCAGCAACGAACGACAGAATCCGCGATCTATCGTTGCCGCCACCTGCAATGGCAGCAGCGCAGGCCAGAAGGCCCTCACTTCCTCTTTCGAACATGCACTGCCGAGTGAACCAAGTTGTGCAATTTACAGGGTCCTCTCAGGACTGAGCGCCAGGATTTGTGTTCTTATGCACTCTGCCAATTAGCAGAGCGTCCAGACGTCTTGGAAACATATGCGCCTGGCACCTCGAAGCGCCATTGCGGCAGCCACGAAAGAATCCATGCAAAGGCTTGTCTAAACGTCCCCATCCCCACCAGTCCCATGATCACCTAACAGCGCACCATCAGGAGCTATCCTTTACACCCGGCTGAGCTACCCTCCACATTCAAATTCTCATGTGTTGGCTGGGCGCCAAGGGGTGCGGCACTGGCGATCACCAAGGCTGGCGTCCGACAGCGAGTGCTCTTTTTGTCCATGAGAACCTCTCCTAGGGACCGCTTCTCCTGGGCAGCTCCCCCCTCTCCTCGGCGCAGTGAAGCGCCGCAGAAGCTTAGTCATGGAACGACAGGAGTTGACGGCGTTCAGGCCGACCGCACTCTAAAGCCACAGCACAACTGTGAGAACAGTGGGCGATGACGCAATTCTGATCTTTTCATAAGTTTCAACCTGATACCACAAACATGGTAACACCATGCACACATCATCGTTGAGGATGTGTGCACAATTACACTGTGTCCACGTTTCACACTGTTCTGTGCCGAGACAAGCCCACAACAACCACCACACTTTCACTCCTGCATTCCTACATGCTAAGCATGAGGAATGGCGGGCTAGTCGATGCTCATCTGCGCTAAACGATTTAAATGCCATTCAAAAGCCGGCCAACAAGCAAACAACCACATGGCTGGTACACAATTCACAGGCTAATCGAGGGACCACTGCCATAAGACAATAGCAATAGAGCACAGCACAAATGAAAATTGGACCACAAGCAGAACACAGTTCTTTACTACAAGCATAGTACTTTAGCTCACGTTGCAGGACACAGCACATTTCTGCAGCACCCGCTTGTGTGCATTAGACATGCAAGCATGTGCTGCAGGACAAGGACAGCCCTCACAGTTCCAAAGGGCAACTGCAAGGGCACCGATTCATCACAAGCTGCCATGCTGCCACAACTAAGCCAGCACACAAGTAGCTAGTCTTGTGGCTGAGTAACAACCTGAGATCAAACATTGCAATTTGTAGGACTACAGCAAGGTAGCATTTCTTGAGCAAAACGCAGTCGTTGTGGCTTCATGCCATTCCCTCTTTGCAAAGCTGATGGACTGCACAAGCCCTTATGTTATACCATTGATTTCTCAATCCTGAGTTGACCGCATGGTAAACGCCCACGTTGTCATGTTAAATTTTGTTAGAGCCAAACATGCGCTCCATGACTGGAGTCCTTGTTGTACCACCCAGAAAGTGAGGACATCAGCTCTGTTTAGTCAGCCACTCACTGCTCGATCAGCTTCTCCAGTCCTGCCTTGTTGGCTCCAACAACCTCCCCAACCTTCTGTCCATTCTTGTACCCATGGAAGGTGGGCATCGCAGTGATTCCGACGTTGGCCGCAACTTCCTGCAAACCAGCGACAGGGTACTCAGGAGGGCATAAACAACATAAGAACAGTGCAGCATTCCTCTGCCTTGACATGGCAAGGTCTTCAGTCGTTCGTGTGCCCTGCCCCCAACTCAAGCAACTACGTAACTGGGAGCTTCAAGTCTCAGCAAAGAGCCAGCCAAAATAATGCACATCTAGTGTTCAGCTGAGGTGATCTCGGCTGTTTACATGGACAGCGATTTGTGCCACGAGTTGGCCCAAACTGCATTTCAGGACACACAAACAAAAATCAAAACAAACAAACAAACAAACAAAAATCGACCCAGAAGAGCAAGAAAGCTCACAAGGGCACCCATATGGGCGACAAGCTTTGGGTGCCAGGCGGCTGGCGACGATGGTTGACTCCATACTAATGTCATGAGCGTTTTGCTAATAGCTGTAGGCTGATCGGGGCTGTGATGGCACAGTATAGGGGCTCTGCAGTGTATGAACTATACATTCAACGGATTAGCTACTACCCTTAGGCAGATCAGACCTTAAGCAAGCAGGTATCCAGCTCCAATGACGACAAGCTTGTCAACAGCATGACAAGGTGTGCACTTCCACCAAGCTAGCGATGTTGGGCTTGTAGGTGTATCAAAGGGAGCTTATGCATTTGCTATTTCCTGATAGATTATGGCCTTGCAGCAGGCACCCTCCCAGCACAACAGTGGAGTGTCTTTCTACCCAGAACATAACTTGCCAAATATCCATACAAGAGTGAAGATGCAGGCAACAGCGTACTTTGCAAGGGCTAGGGGAGCAGGGACAGACGACGGCGTTCGATCCTTTGCTCCAACAAATGGGATTCACACACCTCAGATCAGTGTGGTAAAAGCAGCAACGAGTTTACACAAAATGAGGGAATTGCCAAACGTGAGATAGGAGTCTCAGGGGATGCTGCCTGAGAGAGAGTGTCCTGTGCGCCAGGCACATCCATCAGGTGCATTTTCAGGCGCGGCACATCCCCTCGAATTGGAACAGGATCACATTTCCATGACGAACAAGCACAGCCAACAGCCCTACTGCGACCTTAATGTCTGTTCCAACATCCCTAAATTTAAAAAGCCGCGCTCCAGCACCTCAGCTTTATCCAACACACTCACGGCACTGTCTTACCGAGCCCCAACCCTCACGACACTGCCCGCAGGACGCCGTCCAATGTGCACTTCCTCAGCACCTCCTCCCAACCCATCCTTTCGAATACTGCGCCCGGGGCACCATCCGCTGGACAGAAGCGTCAGAAAACCCGCGAGCGCGCTGCACAGCGGCCAGCAGCACGCCCTGTCCCCGGGCTGAAAATGAACTCTCCAACGGTGCTCCTCCGGCAACCACGCCCCAAACATCCAAGACCGTTGTCTCGCCAGCTCAAGCCGCTGACAGCAGCCGAAAGCGAGCGCCGGCGGCCACGCCCCGGCAAGGGGCACAATGTGGCTAACGGAGCGGAGGGACGCCAGGTCAACGGGTGTTTGGCGAACAGGGGAACGCTTGGCGAGATCTGCAGCGATCTTGTGCATCCTCATAGAGGAGGGCTTCCTGACGCGGCGGGGGTTCAGACTCGATTGCCCGTCTGGCACTCACTGACTTCAACGATTCCCGGCCAGAGAGGGCAGGGCGCACAAGTTCAGATAGCCCTGGCGAGGGGCGCGTGATGGGGGACCGTGTCCATAGGTTGGAGGTTGTCGCAGCGAATGCCCGCGGCCATCCAAAATTTGACGCGTAGGCATTCGGCGACGCGTGGGCGGCCAGCGTGGGCGCGTTCCTTGCTTTCGTGCGCCGCGGTTCCGCAGTTTCTCGCCGGCCAGCACGACCGGTCGCGATGCCATTGTCCACTCCCTCGTGGCGGGTATCCGCAAGCGACCGGAGGCCACGACGATCACCAGAGCGCAGGGACCCCGGCGAAGAGCTGAAGCGCAGCGCCGGCCCCGGCCCTGAAACCAGAGGGGGCCGGAGCGCCCTGCTGGAACTTTCCCCGCGAGGCGGCAACCTCGATTGCGCCCGCCTTCCGGGAGCATACCGATTCCGACAAGGAGATCCACAGGTTACCAAGCGCTGCCAATCCCCATCGGTCCACCCCCGACCGGTACCGGCGCGCCGATTCGCCTGGAGCCACGCCCACCGTCGATTCGCGCCGGCTGCTCAGCGCCCGGGCGGCGCCCAGCCCCCCCCCTTCCCTCCATTCCCTCCCTCACCTGCGCCGCATCCACGTCCACCTTGAGGAAGACTGTGTCCGTGAAGCTGTTGCTGAACTCCTCGAAGGTGGGCGCGATGAAGTGGCACGGCCCGCACCACGTCGCGAAGAAGTCCACGATAACCTGCGCGCGTCCGCCCCGCGCTCGAGGCGTCAGTCACGTGGCCGCCAGCAGAGCCGCCTCAGCTCACACCGGGCGCCAAGGCCCCACCATCCGTCCAAAACAAATCGACCCCGGCCGCCTCGCGCGAGGGCTGCAAACCGCGAGATGCCTCTTTTCTGTGCAGAAACGACCCGGCCCCGCCCCGACCGGCAGCCCCCGGCATCCCATCCCCGGGCCAAGGACCCGCGCTCACCCCCTTGCCCTCCTTGGCAGCCGCGGCCAGCTTCTCGTCCCAGTCCGCCTTGGACACGATCACGATCACGTTGCCTCCCATGGCGTGCTGCGGGCCCAGGGGCCTGGCGCGACTGGAGCCGGGCGGGAGCGAGGTGGAGCTGTCCGGTGGCGTCACACGGCGGCCTCTGGCGCCTGTTGGCCTTGGGGCTTGGCGCGTGGTGGATGGCAGGTGATAGGACACGTAATCGGGTGCCAAATTGGCGCAGCGGGGCCCGCCCAGCCCGGGAACGGAGCCCCAGTGACGGGCGCGCGAACACCCTGAAGGTGCGTGATGTGTTGCTGCGCACCGCCAGCTTCCCGGAAGCAGGAAAATCGCACCTTCCGGAACCGTGTGGCATTGCCGGTGGGGCAGTACATTCCGTGTAGTGCACGTGCTCCAAGCCTCGGAGGCAAAAACGTGCAAAAGCTTTGGTGTCTACCCACTGTGTCACGGTATCGGTGGGCCAGGGGCTCGAGCGTCTGGAATCTCTGAAAAAGGTGATGACGCACAGCTTTGCGCGTTTTTGCTGGTGACCGTTCTGCGGGCTGTGTGGCATGCCGTAGTCTGGGGAAATACGGCCGCGCCTTATACAAAGCACGCAATACTACGCGCATCGTGACAAAGATTTGAAACAAGCGTTGCAAAGATGGTGACCGGCGCCCCGAAAGGCGTATATTCAGACGTTATGTTCGGAAAATACGGTAAAAACCCTTTGATCCAGCGAAACAACCACCACACTCCGCGCGGACCCGCCATCACGTGGACATGTGTCCACCGGGCATGGGACTCGGCTTTTTAGCACTGGGCATTCTACACAATTGCTTCGAAGCAATTGTTCAGAATGCCCAATGCCAGAAAGGGGGTTCCCATCCTCAGCAACCATGGCGGCTGGAACCGCACCCAACAGCCCCGCACCGACACCACAAATCCCAAGGGGCTGCCAGACCCAACCAAAGCCCCCGCCCCCTTGGAAACTAGACATGCGATGCTAGTTTAGGTCAACGCGCCCTTCGCGCCAATCTAGTTTAGGTCACAACCCCCCAAAGTGCCAGATACTCCCCTCCGGCCCTCCACACCCCACCCCCAACTTCCGCTCCTGCCGAAAGCCGGGCTCGCCCCGTCTCTCCGCAGCAAGCTGGATCCCCCCTGACGTCATCGCGATGCCCGGCGACGGCGTGCTGACGCTCCTGGTCTCCCGCGGTCGGCGATTCCCGCCGTCGCTGGGCCCCCTGCGCGTGACCGCCAATTTCGCGCGCGACGCCAGGGCCACGGAGCTTTGTGCGCGCCCGCCGGGCGCCGGCGACGCTGTGCGTTGGAACGCGGAGATGGTGTGGCGCGTGGAGGCCGGGCGGCTGCGGCGGGCGGTGACGTCGCGGGGGCTGGCTACCTGCAAGGTGGTGGCAGAATTCATCAGCCTGGTGGCCAAATGCCTTGGAACATGTTTGTTTGTCTGAACTTGCTGGTCTAAATAAATGTTTATCTAAATTTGTTCACTTGTGTTTAAACGAGTTTATGCATGTTTAAATTTGTTTATGTGTCTTTGAATCTTTGGATGTGCATGAATTTGTTTGAGTTGCCTTCCAACGCCAAGGCGCAAGGGCACCTTGGCAGGCGATGACGGGGAATGCATCTAAATTGTTTTCCTTGTACCCCATCCGCTCAATTTAAACTCTCCTGCAAATGTCGTGGCCGATGTCCTTTGTGCAGATTTGCCTTTGAGGACGACTCGGGGCCTTTGTACCTTGCAGGCCATGATGGACACGTGTACGAACAACTTGTTTTCATCTCCTCATCCGTTCATTTTGTGCTCTGGTACAGGTGGTGGCTGAGGGCGCGGGCGGGGAACGGCTCGGTTGGGTGGTGATCGACCTGAGGGCTGCCAAGATGAACGCGCTGAGGTGAGGGGCGACGGATTGATCCTTGTCAGGCGATGGAAACGGAAAGAGCACCATACGGATAAAAGGAATGTTGGAACAACGGGAATGCTATTTTTTTGGTAGCAGAAGGGGGATCACTCTTTCCTGGTGGCGGAAAAGTGATGTTTGCTTGCCTGTCAAATAGAAGGGGATCGCTGTTTTCCTGGGGACGAAATCAGGAAAGTGAGTGGAGCAGCCCCTAGGCCGAATCCAGGGCAAGGGTTTGGTGGAGGTGCTCTTCGCCCTGGAGGGGTTTCCCAAAGCAGGAAAGGGAAAATATGTTGCAAGGCAAGTGTGTGCTATGGCTAGCACTCCCCTCCTGAGCGAGAATTTAAGAACTGTTGAAGTGGACTCTGTCCATTTAGACAAATAGTATTCATAAGTGTAGGGCGCATGACAAGGAGTTCCAAGCAGCCACACCTGGGCCAGGAAGCAGGGACGGAGAGTTTATACGATTGCAACGTATCAAATGCATTGAGGAGAGGCCAGTGCAGAGGTGGAGGTGCTCTGCAGTGCAGGAGGCTATTTTCACTTGACAAGTTTGCAGTACACATGTGTGGCCACAAAGGCATCTTCGTAAAATCACTGCAATCACAGTCGGATCGCCTTGGCGTTTGCAGGGGCAAGTGAATGGCCTTCAAAATGATGGCAGGCACATTCGCACTCAACATTTTGCTGGCAGCATATTTGCTCATATGTTTGCACTCCACCCGATCGGCCAGGGCCAGTGGGTGTGTGGGGGCACCTAGTCTGCTTTAGTGTGGCGTTGTTGGCAGCACTGCTCACCCAATGGTCGCCCCACAAAATAGGCAGGGCATTGCCAGCTATGCAAGGTGTCCATTTCCTACCATTCCATGCTTGCCAGTGCTCAAAAATGTTGCAGCGAACAACACGGACTGGAGGGAAACAGCACCAATGTACAACTACTTGCACAATGTGACTACAGTGGCAAGGGAGAAGAATATAGCGGCAGTCTTGAACAGTAGATTCTCGAACATGGATAGCTTGGTGGTCTTGGGATGAAGTGCGAATGGGAAACGGAAGGAAGCGTTGGTGCATGTACACAACTGAAAATGCAAGGAAAGCGTTACGTATGTGCCCTTCCACAATTTGCCTTCTTGTGCCCGCTGAATGCCATTGGGTCCACAGAAAAGGGATTTGGACCTCTTGGTAAATTCCGGCATCCAGCAAGTTTTGAAGGGTGCAGGGACATCGCATGAACAGGGCTTCTTCAGCACAGTCTGCTTTCTTCAGCACACATTTAGCCCATGATTAATCTGTGACTCTGGCGCTCCATCCACCCCTTCATCCACCGCTCCATCTGCCGTTACATCTGCACATCCATTGTCATCACTGAGCAACATCACAGAAGCCTTGCAGTTGTTACAGGTACCAGAGACTGTTCCTTGTAAGGAAACATGCTGGACCAGCTGCAGTTTAGTGACCACTGCCAAGGTCCAGCATGAACAAAGGAGGAGGCAAAGGAACACAGGAGGGCGGCCTTGCTCCTGACATGCTCACTGTATCCCGTCAGGACAGACTACGAAGGCGAATGGCTGCCCCTGGCTGGCCCTAAACCTAACCTCATCCACTCACCTCCGGAGCTTTTCCTCTCCTATAAATTCGAAGAGGAGAAATGTGCAGCGACACCCACAGCTTCCCCGCCACCATGCGGGGATGCTGCAGAAATTGACAGGGATCAGGAGAGGGCAGGGCGGGATGCCGAGCTGGACTTCGGCCAGCTGGAGGCAGCCGCCAAAAGATCCGAACCCTTCGTGCTGACAGGCCGTCGGGGAGAGGCCACAGCAGCTGGCAAATCGAGCTCGTCCGACGGTGCCAAAGGTGCATTACATCGAAGCCCACAAGCCGTGGCTGATTTGTGTGGTGGACATCGGCGCAGGGGAAATGAGCCACTTCATCTCATCCGGATACAGCATCCTGTGGTAGCTGCTTGGAGCTCCTTGGGGGCTACTTGGACTCCTTAGACTCCTTGGGATCAGTTGTTTGTGACAGCATATTGATGCTGTAGTTCTTTCTGCTGAAGCCTGTATTGCTTCTGTAGTTTGGTAGTAGAATTTAGAATATACAGACTGCTGTGGAGACCGCGAGTTCAGCAGGAAGAGTACAAAAACTAATCGCATGCCATTCTCAGTGCTGTTTTCTTGACAGACCTGACACACATCCACAGGCATGGGAGTCACACAAATATTTGTCCAATAACTCAACCTGTGGCTTTAAGGGTGACAACATAAACTGTTGTTAGCAGCTATAGTGGAATTTGAAACAGCAAACGTTGCATTGGCTGAATTCTTTGTGACACCATTTGGCTCATAGTCAAAGCAAGCCCCTTGCAGCCACAAGGCAACCACGGCCAGCCTTGGCCTCAAGCACCGATTCACTCATGATGCAATGCTGGGACAGGCATGGCAGCCACAGCACATTTGCAGCACTGACACAAAGCTTGCTTCCGCTACTCAACATGACTTCTCATTGCCTTCTCCCCTTGCAAGGCGGCAACGTTTCCATCGTCACTGCCATCTAGCTTGCTGCAACGTGGCCCCTTGACAACAAGCTGTAATCCATGTGTTACAGTAACAGGGGCACAACTTGTCTGTGCTTCAGGTGTTCGAATACCTCCACCATGGGAGTCTTCACCAGAGCCTGCAGCCAAGGTCACTACGATTGCTCCTGGCCTCTCTTCTGCCATCAACAAGCAAGCTCATGCCCTGCTCCCACGAGCTCCATCCTTGTCCTCTTCCCACCACCGTCCCCCAGGCCCATCTGCACCTGAAGCCGCTGGTGCCGATGATCCCCACCGCCACTTCAGGTTTCCATTTATTCCATCTGCTCAGAAGTGGCAAAGGTCACACATGGTCTCACGCATGACAGGCACACTTCCACAAGCATTTGCTGCCACTGGCTTGCTTAGTTTAGCATAGTCCAGATCAATTTTAGATTCCACATTTATACCAACATTAACAATAAATCTATATAATCCACTCCATTTGTTGCAAAATGGCAAAATGCAGATCGTTTGCCTTCATTGGCTTGGCAGATGTGCTGTCAATTTTTGTCCTTTGGATGCCACATATTGTGCCATATGGTATGTGCAACAGTTGTTTACGATTTGCGATGATAGCACTGAAGTGCTATGTATATCTGTGTACATGGTTTTAGAATGCAATGGACCTTGCCAGACAAACATTTTGGCAAGTTGCACATGAAGTCTTCTGCTTTGAAGTGCAGACGTTGGAAAGTTGCTGTTGACATTTGTGTTGGAGAATTTAACAATCTTGCAGGAGTGGTTGACAATCGTGCTTTCATCCACACTGTGCACGTCCATCACATTTTCAACGTTCAGAATTCCCACAGCAGGATGGTTCACTACAAGGGGCGACTCACCAATGTGAGAAATACCTAAGATACCTTCTTTAGTCATAACTTCACTTGCAATTTGACTGATGATGCCTTTCTTGAATGTGAAACTGCCACCTTGTCCATGTCTGGTTGCGGGCGGTAAATACAGACACGGAGGAAAGAAAGAAAGCACATAAAATTTGCGTGATGTCACTTCAGATTTTCTGCAGACGTGCGCACCTTTCGAGCCAGCCCCCATATCTCCATCAGCCGGGCTTCTGTCTACATCAAGGCATCTGTCCCATGGAATTTTGGAGCTTTGTTGGGGTGCACTGGGAGCTGCACGCAGGCCTCCCCAGTAGCTCTTGTGTCTTCTGCTCCTGTCGATGTGTACCGGGGCAGCGAGGCAGCACTGCTGGGGGGCTATGTGGCACTGGAGTTTGACGCAGGGGTGATGGAGCTGGCAAGGGCCCTTGCGCTGCAACCCGACATCCACATCGACGTGTGCCACAGGTAAGATTGCCACGTGACAGATTGGCAGTGCGAGAATCCTCGTTACCCATAACCTCTAGGGAGATTCGACAGGATGTAGAGTGCCATGGGTGTGCCATCAATTCTGTTATTGTATGCTGCTGGGTATGATTTTTGTATGAAGCCACCCATGATACTTTTTGCCAACATCTGCTGAAAATTATTGTATTGGCAAACAACACTCATGCACAGGGAGAAGCTTGGGAACGACGTCTTGCTGGGTACCGCAGCTGTCCCCCTGTCCCCTCTGCTGCGGGATGTCTTCATAGACAGCACCGCAAAGGTGACCAGCCATGCGACTGATGAGAGCCTCCTTGATCGTCACCCCCCCGGCAAGGCACAGGTCGAGGTGGGCATCCTCAGGGCCAGCGTGTCCATCGAAGACCTTGGTCCAGCACACAGCTCTCACTCAGACTGCCCCCCCAGGACAAAAGGCACCTCAGCAAACAGAGGCATGCCAGCTCATCAGTTGCAAAATGGGGAGGGGTTTGAACCAAGCCAAATGAATGGAATTGTGGTTCAGGAGGCAGGGCAGACAGAAGGGTGGGGAAGGGAGGGAAAAAATTTGGATTTGGGCAATGGAATGATGGGAATTGACAGTGTGAAAACTGCAGTTGTGGGGAGCCAGGCAGTCGAGGTGGAGGCTGGCAACATGATGCGGCTGCATGCCAGGAATCAAGGTAGTGATAGAGGGCTGGATGGATGTGGAGATCCATCGGTGCAGAGGTTGCAGGGCATGTGCTCAGGGGTGTGGCAGGAACCGGGTTTGGAAGCAAACTCTCAGAGGAACTGTGGGGGCAGGCATGGTGATGAAATCCCCATCCCCATGGTGTGCAGTGGGCCGGGCGTTCTGTCCACAGAGTTTTTGAGGGATGCTGGGATGTGGGAGGCACCACGGCTGAGTCACGGGATGACGAATCAGCAGCTGATGAATCCGCAAGGTGAGGCAGCAGCCCCTGGGGAGCAGGAGATGGCTGGCTTCGGTTTGGCAGCTGCGGCTCCAAAGCCCTCATCCACTGAGCTGGCGGCTGCATGGGACCTGGAGGTGTGGAAGAAAGCCGAGCAGGCCAGGTGTGGAAGGTCATTGGGTGGAAGCTGGCTGAGCTCCAGTTTGCGACTTGAGGGCGATGTTGGGCATGTGCATGCACAGAACGCCCAAAATGAGGTCTGCACATAGTCCATCTCGAATCCCAAGTGCGAATCATCCCATGGCAATCTGGGGGCCAAACACAGTTTGTTGACCTTGTCCTGGTAGTGTTGTGCATTGACGAATGGTATTCTTCAAACAGTTGCAAATTTCCTCGGGCATTTCTTTTCCTTGGGTATTTTTGGGCACACTTCCTTTGGCAATTTTCTCAGGCATTCTGTTGCTCTGTTGGTGTCTATGACTGAGCATGTATTGAGGATGGGCGAACATTCCCCATTCAGGATAACACACTGGGTGCACAGTGCACTATGGCTTACCGTTTTATTATTGCAGAGGCATGCGTTGCTCAACACAATGGGTTCATCGCCGAAGCAGCAGATGTTTGGAGAATTTCAAGTAAGGTTCCTGTGAAGATATATCCCCCATCGCCTGCAGGATGCAAAGGCTATGTGCTGACCATTTTTGAACAAATGCAGCCAATGTATTATGGGCACAAAAATCAATGAGCCAATTCTCCTTCCTTAATGCAAGGTTCCTGGCAGACCTGAGGGAGAGGGAAGCTGAGAGGATGGTGGTTCTGGAGAACGAGTGGCGGCGGCGGGAGAAGGTCAGGGAGAAGGAGGCTGCAGAGCTGCGGGCGGAACATTCATCGATGGAGGCACGGCTAAGGGACATGCTGGGCATGCTAGAGGCGCGGGAGCGGCAGCTGGTGGCTGCGGAGGAGAGCCTGGCGAGGCACAGGAGGGACATCGAAAGGGAGTACGCGATGAGAAGGGCGGAGGCGGAGTCTGCCGTAAGGCGGCTGCAGGTTGGTCAACCCTGGATCGATGGCCCGTTGAATGAAACGGTTGGTCAATGGATTAACGAGTCGATCTTTGGAGACGTCAACTTCTCGTTGGTGGAACAGTAATTCGATCTGTCAACACATCAATTTGTTCAATCAAACGTTGAATGCCGTGTGGATCCATGGACCAGCTGATCAGTAAAATTCGCCGACTGTATGGTGCTTCAGTGGCGGATGCTGTGCTACAGCAATGGTATGAAAAACCCTTGCTGCATTTGGGAAGAACATTTGCCTGTGTGTTGGCACACCAAAGAAATGGACATCCCCATGTCTCCCACCAATCGCTCACAAAATAACTGAAAAGGAAATGCCCAGCCAGTGAGCCAAGACATGTGCAGGTGTGATGTGCAGGCGCCCCCACTCCTTTTCTGCACTCAATGGCGCGTTTTTGGCACTCAAAGTTGAACAGACAATGATACGGCAATTACAGAACTCTAGTGTAAGCTGTATTGCATGCTTCAACACATGGCCACTGTCGGATTTCACATTCCAGCTGTCAAGTATCAGCTTTCAGCTGCCTTTGCCATTGCTGTCTGTCCATTCGGGGCAACAGGCATTCTTGACTGTCCTGGCAATGCTTGCAGCGGCAATTTTGCCCAGATGGCACAGCAGGGTTGGCTCACGGCTGGGAACTATTGGAACTGCTGAAACAGGTGGAGTGCGAGCACCAGCTGTCGATGGAGCGGGACAGGAATGCTGAGCTTGCACGCCATAAGGTGTCAGTTGAAGAGCGACTTGCGGCAGCGGAGGCCCGGGCTGGGACCATCGAGCAGAACTTTGCTGAGTACCGCCATGCGCAACAGAGCACCTCAGTGGCGGAGCTTCAGGCGGAGCTGGTGACCGCAAGGGAGGCAGCCAAGAGGGGGGACGAACGGGCTGAGAGGCTGCTGCATGCGAAGAAGAGGTGAGCAGGCCAGGTCACAATTATTGCAATGGCGGGGTCTGTTGTTCTCAATTAGCTTACGCAGTGCATCAGACAAGAGGGTGCCATGTCTCCATCCCATACTGGATCTCCAGGCCAGCCTGCAAAATGCCCGCTCCCTGAATGAGGCTAGGTGCTGCTGCTGAACTGCTGTTGCAAGCCTTGGATTTCAATTTCGGCAGAGCACAATTCTTCACAACCAGAACAGTGTTTCCAGCCCAATTCCAGAGGGCGCAACAAGCCAGCATGCAGGGTCGGCAGGATGAAGTGCAAAATTCCTTGCCAAACGGAACATGTGCCTAGAGTTCCTAAACTCTAGGTACCATATTGTGGTCCAACTCTTTCTTTGCCGATACCACAATTCCTTCATACCTCAGTATTTGCCCTGAATCGAAAAAACCAAGCAAGTGCAATTAGTCACAGCGTGTCTTGGACTGATGGCTTGCACACTGGCTCCCACAGATGTCCATCCTGCAGGACCTTTCTCTATGTCCACAAATGCGACATATGTACTCCGTAAGCCCTTGGAAGTGATATCCCAATCCATCTATGCAATGTTCCCACGTTCCCCTGGTCATGACCTCTGGGTTGTTCACTGATGGGAAGAACCGCAAACACTGCAAGATTAAACACTTGTCAAGGGCACCAGTCCCGATGGACACAATATAGTACCATTCCAAACTATGTGCACCCCAAAACTGCCAGAATTATCTGCACATAAGAAGCTTGTTTCAGGTTCTGCAGGGCATAATGGATGGATTGTGGATGTGAAATGTAATAGTATGCGGTAGTTGCGACATGTATAAGGTTGTGTGCTGGTGAATACATACTGCAGACTGATCTTTCACAGTTGTGTAACAGAGTGCTGCCATGGTGCCACATTTATCTTCACTAAAGTGCCTAGATTTGACCCTCATATTGATGCAATTCAGCTGGTGATCACATGATATGGGGAATGAGGTGGAGACATGTTGGGAATTAGGAGTTGACATACTGTTAGTGATACAGATCTCCTCAAAAGTACCACATGTTCACCGAATGAGAAATGTGACATTTTGTTGTTTATGAAGGTACAAGGCCCAAGTGATCAAGCTTGCTCAGGAGATTGGGGAGCTGTACAAAAAGAACGAGATGCCTGTGTACAATAGCAGTACAGCAAATGTACTACAGAGGGACTGTATGGCGACCTCAACACTCCGGTTGGCTGCCGAGGAGGGCACCATCCAGACAAGGGTGAGTTTCGCAGCCATGACAGATGCGGACATGCCTCACATACGAACAATTACTTTATATGAATAATTGATGATTGCATTCAGGCTGCACCTCACCGTGCGCCAAATTGCTGAGAGCTGTGAATACACAGTGTAGACGTCGAGGAAACTGGGCCATGACGTGCGTCCACAAATGTGTCTTCTCTGGGACACAATTGTGTATCTTCTCTGGGGCGTTTCGCACTGACCGATTCATGCCCTGGCAGCAACCCAGCAGTTTGTGCTTTGCATCCCCCAGCTGCAGCGCCAGGAGCTGGCGTCCCTAAAGTCCCAGCTTGCTGCCCTTAAGGCCAACATGCTGGCCTCCACGTCGCCGCCCTCCTGCCCCGCCTCTCCACACGGCGACTCCCCGTACAGACACGTCCTGCAACCTGTGGACAACCATTTGGCGGCCTCCGATGGACGTCTGGGGGAGAAGGTGGGTCACCCACTGGACCATTCGGTCTGTCGGCCATTCAGCGCCAAGACCCATGAAGAAGCCAGTCCGTGGAGAGGAGCGGAGAAGCAGGTGTGGGGATTGAACACGCCCAGTGAGGGAGGGCACTACCCAATTTCAATCTATCAGGGAATACTGTGCGTCAAGGCGAGGAGGCAACCGCCAGCCTGCAGTTTCGCCCAAAGAAAGCACTGTCGGTTATTGAATCAATTGGTGAAATGCCAAAAATCTGCATGCCTTGCTGGCCTTCGTCAGTTGAGGGGTGATTGCTCTTGGTTCAGGTGCATGGAGTAGCACCATTGAGAATGTTGTGTCTCCTCGCCATACCAGTAGATATTCATGTATGCCCATGAACCCGATCGCAACCCCTCAGTTGGCCCATAGAGTGATAAGGGAAAACGGAGAGCAAGATATTGGAAATTGCCCGTAGTTTCAATGGCGTTAACCGGCTGAAAATCACGTGCCAATGACGTAATAACAATGCATTTCATTCGTAGTATCATGTCCAGAAACCTCACCAGATCCCACAGCGGTAGCGGTGTTTCTTTCCATCTTTCACCAGTGGGAAGCGGAGCACACCGCTCAAGGAGTCCAACTGGATGGGCGGGAGGATGTAGAAGACGAGGCCCGCCAGGCCACGGAAGAAGAAGGCGCTGAGGAGTTTGAACGCTTGTTAAGCGGCATGGAGGAGGACGGCGGCGGCAAGGTTGCCGCACCCCAGGGCGGTGCAGACGGATCACAGAACGCCGAAATCCAAAGGCTGCTGGCCGAGAGGACTGAACTGCTGGAGACGGGGGTCTACTGTGAAGGGGACGATCTCATAGTGCAGCTGGACAACCAAATAAGGGAACTGGCGAGTCGATGAACTGACTTGTGTCGGGCTGTGTTAGGTGGAATTGGAGAGGCCATCAGGGGCCATTTCGTCTGCAAGACGAGCGGGGCCGTACGTTTTGCGCAGGGATTTTTGGGTTTTAGGCTTGGGCTTTAGAGCAAGGATGCTGTGAAGTATGTGCGGTTGATTGCACAAGAGAAGCAGCAGGTACTGCATTGTCGCATCAGGTGGACTCGAAATGTGACCAGAACACTATCCCAGGGGACTTGGCAGTTTGTTGTATCGACGGTTATGCAGGGGATGGTCCCTGTGCTGCCCTCCTGCTGACTGTCAACTAGAGTTACTCTTCAGATCAAGGCTCAGCTGGGCTTCCCCAGCGCTGTCGCTAATCTGCATTCCTATGACTCAGAAACGCGCCATAGGCACATGTGCTGCTCGCAAGAACTCCCTTTCCGGCCTGGCAAGTTGTCTTTAGCACATTCCTGAAGTACTGATAACTGTGAAGCTTGTAAACTTTGTGAAGAGGCGTTGACGGGCCCCAGTTGAATGCGACAGCTGAAACGGCGCGCCAACGGGTTGCAACGGTTTCGCAAAGGTTGTTGACGATACAGCAACACCGATTCGCTATTACACTCAAAGTTTGCTGACAATGGCGAATAATGGACAGCGCAGAAACTACAATTTGCGGTTTAACCGGAAATTGTAGTTTTTGCGCTGTCCACTTGCATGGACTTCGATGGCGAGATAACAGAGTCAAAGCTACAGCATCAAGCAGGGACGCATGGTGGCGATTCACAGCGTACCGCTCCGTTTCCACAGCAGTGCGGCAACTCACTGTCACGTTACTAATTGCTATCTGTACTGCATATTGACAAATTTGAAAATCTAAACACAACACTGCACATCCACAAACTCTACACATCTACTGTGAATACGATACATATGCTACACATTTATTCATGCCGTCCCCTGAGAGCGAAGACCAACGCTGCCGCCCCCGCTAGCACGTCCTCAGGCCCCCCCGCCAGTCGTCTTACATCCAACAGTGATGAAAATCGCCAGTGCTGCATTTCCATCACTAATGGCTATGCACGTTCACGCAGTGGTATCCCACAACCCTCTTTCATTCCGTTGCACGCAGTGCCCTTTGACAAGCAAGTGCTGCTTAACCACGGTTACCTTGCGTTGCAAGCAGTGGCCTTCGACAAGCAAGAGCTACATAGCCACGTTAGTTTAGAACGCGGTTCTGCCTTTCCTGACTGATGACGGAGATGAACCAGTCTTCACTGAGCCATTAACGAGTTGAGGGAGTCACCAGTGAGAGGTTTTTTTGCCCTTTTTAAATGCGGTCCTACCATTGCCTCCCCGCTCGCCCCCCACCCACCCACCCACCCCCACCACCCACCCCCGTCCACCCATGTCCAATTGGTCAACAGTGACGGCCGTTTTTAGGAGGCCATGGCGACATTGGAGACTCACAAGTACTGGACTGAGAGTAGACAACACTGAACCAGTATGACATTTGTTCACATTCTTCATAATGAGACTTCGAGAATGTGGAAAGCTCCGCACATCATCTGCACCTTTTACTGAACTGACTGTGTCGTCTCTTCTACAAAACAATGCTATGTCGTCATGAGCTTGTCATGCATGTAGTACTGGGGATTTTGCATCAATATCCCCTTAACATTGGAGCATGTCCTTGCCTCTGCCAGCTGCGCTTCACCAAATGCGTCCCGATAGGATCGTCACCAGCTGCATGTAATGAGACGTATGCCATCGGAGGCATGGAAGCGAAATCACACGAAATGAGTGAAGCCATGTCATGTTCTGAAGCACAGACTGAGAGCACATGCTTGTGCGTCCATCTTCCGCAGCTTTGGCAGGGCCATTGATCTGCACAGGCACCATTGAGCACCCACTGAGATCCAGTTTTCCGCCTTTTCTCCTGCAGCAATATGTTGTATTGTGAGGGACAGAGAAGTTCAGCAGGCACACAGCAACATTATCTTCCACATCTAATTAGTGCATTAGATAATGTACAACACGGTTGTGAGCACTCGCGTCAATAAAGACATATTCAGGATTGCTTCCAATTAAGCATATTGCTTTTCGCAGTCTGCATACCCAGTTTCAGGCACGTGCCTGTACATGGCAAACTTCTTCAATCGGATGGAGTCAAGGCGACATCCCCATTTTCCTTCTGGCACTCAGGAGATTTTGGTCCCAGGACAGATCAGAGCATGACCATATGTTGGACCCCTAACGTCTCTTTCTTGTGCATGTACGACCACACACGTCTTAATGGGTGTTCCAAAAGTGCTCACACACACCTGTCATTCTGGCGCTGATTTTTCAGCCAACAAGAACGAGTCCATCTTGATTGGGATCGTTCGAAAGCTGCTATCACTCTAACAGGCGTTTTTCTGTGTTTTGATGCCGTGGCAAGTTTGGCTTCTGAGCAGCCTGTATCTCTGCCAATGGACCTTATGCTGTGCAGAAAGTGATGGGAAGCTTCATGTGATGGACTGAATGCATCTAAGTGACTTAATCTTCTTGTGACAAGGCCCAATAGTGCCCATTCTCGGACCACGTCACCCTTCCCCCCCTTTTCTTGTATGGAATGGGGATAGCGGAAAAGGGTCCAGCTGTGTAGGTGCCATACATCATGCAGGAGAGTGCCAGGGGTGTTGAACAGCACAGTCAGGGCTAGATCTTGCCGTCCACGCTATCAAACAAGACCTGCATTGTGGACGTCAGGGGTTATGCAAGATAGTGTGGGGGGCGCTATTGTTTCAATATTGGATGGATCGCAACGCAAAAGACCCTCACACAACTTCACATCAATTTCCACTATATCCATGCAAGCAACACAAGATCACATTATGCATGCAATATTGTTGTACTTTCTTTTTTCCCATGGCCAAACAACGTTGTTCACAAGGTGCAGCTACATGGTGCCTGAATCTGCAGAATGTCACTGTGACTTGAGAGGTGTGATTGGCATCGCATTGCAGATCGGTGGCCTATGCATCCAACGGGGGGTGCCACCCAGACAGCTTGATGGGCAAGGAGAACAGGAGAAGAAAACTGATTGTGTGCTATGCTGTTGCGAGAAGTGGAGCCAGGGGAAGGCCGGCTCTTTGGACACATGCAGAGATTCCACAAACTGATTTGCCCTTCCCGCGGGAGTGCGATGGGAACACGTGCCTAGCAACAAGGCCCCTCTACCTCCCCTTCTGGGAGTTCATTGCAGGGCGACCCCTTCCCCCAAATGATCCAGGGCGCATGAGAGCAAGGGCAGGCTCACGCTTCTTGGCAACCCGCTCCACTGCTGGTTGAGACACCGATTCCTGACTGTGTCCCCACCGCCCCTCACATCAATCCCCTCCCAGATCGAGAAGGTTCAGAAAATGGCAAATGCTTCCACCCCCAGAACCACAGCCACTCAAGGCCTGTGCTACAATCCAGTCATGCAGGCATTCTGGCAGGTGATCAGCTGAGAACACACAGCAAGAGCAGTGCCGCACATATGCTATGTGTGTACGCCTCAAATAGGCTTTACAATGGGCGAAGATGCATGTGGCGTTCAGGCACCGGTACGCTTTGCTGGTCATTGCGACGACATGGGATTGAATCCCCGTTTCAGTAACTTAATGCAGAAAGAGGGCGGCATATAGGATAGCACAGGGGAACACAGGATAGTGCTCCCGCATTTCGATAGCAGCGATGCTTCTCAACACCCCTTGGACAGGGTGCTGTTCCCTGTGATCTCCAGCACCCCCATTGTACCTGGGTACCCTGGAACTTCTGTGTGCCCTACTTTCTCACGCCCCAGGGTACGGGGTATGGGTTCTACAGGCTGGGCACCACTACCAATACCAATCAGGGCTGTCACAGCAATTGAGACTTGTCCACACAATTGGCTCAAAGTCGTGCGCTACTAGACACAAGAATGATGTCACACCTGCATTCTGGAAGAATGTCAGCATTCTGGCATTCTGGGAGACCAGGCTCCAGGCAGTCGCCTTCTGCATCAGTTACGGTGGTGGTGACCCTTGGTATCCCGTCTGGTGCCACGCTTTGCGGATTTGCGAGGTCTGCCTTGATGGCCAGCGTGATATGCCATTCCGTTGGCAGATTTGCTTCAGGGTCACTGACTGGATGCCCAGCCGTGCTGCAACATCGTCGGACTTGCGAATCTGTGCCTGCACAGGTCACCAGCCAAGGGAATGAGCAACAATCTAAGACTGGTCAGGAGGTCACATCATTCTAACTCAAGAAGTTAGCAGAAACACAGGCCAGATGGCAGCAGACCTCTCAATAGGCCAAACCTGGAGGTCTTTCAAGGATATCCCCTTCACTGCTCCCCCATCCGGCAGGTTGTCTATCTCGTTGCTTCGACCACAACTGCCAGACCTCTCCAACTGCCTGCCATCGCCATTGGCTTCTACCTTTGCACCCTGGGTGTGTAAAGTGCCATTCTTCTTGTTGTCTGTGTCTTCACCATCATCATCGTCCTCCAATACATCGACTAGCTCCTGCTGGGGCACCTCACTGCCTGGCATTGGAGACAGTGTCGATGGCAGGCTGTTGAGAACATCCAGGCCAGTCGATGTTAGGTCCAGATTACAAAACCAGAAGATGGGTGGTGGCAGTAATGCAGATTGTGGCACCAATGGCTGGTACAAAGATAAGCCCCCCTACGGGCGGCTGGTTCCAGGCAACTGCGTTGATGATCCCCTGGTGGTGCAGGGTTCGTCCCACAGGTTGCTGCATAAGCCAGATACACACAACAGTCGAAATCCCACTGCCTGTGCCACATGAGACTGCAGCCCAGACGGCTTGCAAGTGTCTGCTTGGAGATGTCTGTCTGTGTACTATGAAAAGTGCAAGCAGCTGCAGCTTCTAGGCCATTCCTGCAGAGCAGTTTTGACACCACCACAACAATGCAAACATGAAGAGAATTGCAGACCAGTCCTTGGAATCCAAGTGTCTATGCCCAAACTCACAAACACACTTTGTGTTTGCCATTACCTTAGTTGTGTCAATAGTCCAGCGGGCCTCCTGTTCACATAATAACCACTGGGCAGCGGGATTGGGATCTGACTGGGCAATGGAACACTTGAAGACACAAATTCCCCACAGAATGGGAGACCAGTCACAGGAGCAGAGGGGCCATATAGTAAAGACTGTCCATGAGGGGTAGACCATGAAGTGCGACACTGTCCCATCACCACTGCAGCAGTCCCTTCCATGCCTGCAGCCGCAAACCAGAAATTCATGGAAGAAGTTCATGGCAAATTTCAGAATTGCCTGACTGGTGTCCTGAGTCAGGCACAGCTGTGTGTAGTTTCCTGAGCCCCATGGTCCACACTGCACATTTGGTGGAAGATTCCACGCTGAAGTGTAAAGCCATCAATACAAAAGCCAGCACACTGGGAACATAGCACAATATAGCACAATATAGCACAACATAGCACAACAGTGCTGACCGCAAATGCACAGGCAAGCCTGAGCACCAGCAGCCAAGCAGATTTTCCAGCATGCCCAACTTGTTGATGACTCTGGTGCAGTCTTTTTGGCTAAACTGCATTCCAAAGCGATACCACTGATGTCAGGCACTCCCCAGGCAAGCGGCACAACAAAGTGCTCATTGGTTGGGCCAGACAAGAGATACTTCAGAGTGCTCACTGGTTAGGACTGCCCAGCCATTGCAGAGGGAGGCTTTCCTCAACGAGATGTGTGCACCATACATGCATGCTTTCCCTACCACTGGTGGACTTCAGCCCCTTCTTTTGCAGGAATGCCTGCTATTCCCCACATCCTTCCTGTCCCCTCACCTCTTGTTTTCCGCTGGTTGCCATCTGCAGCTGCCCGTGCTGTAGGGCCAGGCCCTGCAAACACAGCATCGACCTTTTGGCCAACTTCAGATGCTGCCTGAACGAACGTTCGGACAAAAACTACGGGATATGCTGTCTCACCTTGTTAGCCTAGTCCACTGTTGCACCCTTTTCCAACAGCAGCGCTACGGTGCTTGTGTGGCCTTTCTCCGCTGCACAAATGAGGGCCGGCACACACTCATTTGTGCAGTGGAGAAAGGCCACACAAGCACCGTGGCGCTGCTGTTGGAAAAGGGTGCATCAGTGGACCAGGCTAACAAGGTGAGGCAGCGTTTCCCGTATTTTTCGAACGAACGCCTCCCTGGTCATCGGCCCACTATCCACTCCCCAATTGCGCAGGCCAAGCTGCAGGTTACAAATGTCCATGTCGGCCATGTGCAACTGTGCACTCTGCAGAGACAACACAGAATGGTTCAAAGTATTGTGTGACAACCCCTTAAGAGCGACCGAGGATCAGTGGGTCAGTTCAACCGCTCTCTGACTGCTGTGTTTGGTGGGTTTGGTGGGGATTTTCGTGGTTGGTGGTTGGCCACCATGTTCCGTCACACTGTAGGTAACGATGGGGTCATTCACTCCATGAGCCACCACTGGGGCCAGAGGCGCCAGCCCTGCCCTGCTTACAGCCAAGAGCACTGATATATGGGCCTGAAGCGGGCAGCCTGAGACTGGGACCTGAGAGCGTCGGCTGCAGTGAACCGTGGCTCTAAACATCGGATCCACCAACGGTGCTTGGCGGGCGCGACGACTTCACCCGTGGCACGGTCGCCGCCGACAGATCCCCGGGAACAGTCCTGGCGCAGCCTCACCTCTAGGCATCTGGACAGGCGGCTGATGATCTTCGAGAACATCACGTATGTCGCGTGGTGCAGCACCTCCACCACAACCATGTCTATCTCCCTCTCCGCGTACACGGGTGTGACCATCGTGGAGCGAACGAGGCAGCGCCGCGCCTCCTCAACGCGGAGGTACACGCTCTCGTTGTAACGCTGGACGTCATAGCACAGCTCCGGCTGCGGCCAGCACGGCAGGGTGGTAGGTGTCACCCACTGCTACGGAAAAGCGATGGCGCCCATAGCAAACTGTCCACCAGGTTGGCTTGGAAACTGCGCTTAGGACGACCACTGCCGAACGGGAAGCAGCGAATGAGGAAGCACGTTTCCGAGTCGGCCATCCGCGACAAGGAGCCTATGCAGGTGATCAGGCGTGGCTTGTCGTTGTCAAGACTGCCCGCAGGGATTTTGCCGCAGCGGCGTTACGCAGCGTGGCAAATGCGAATTCAGTCAGCGCCCACCTGGCCGCTGCAGTAAACCCGACCAATGACGCCCAAGAGGTGGGGCTTGGACACGTCAGTGGCAATGCGGCAGCGGCAGCTCAGGCATCTAAAGAGCGCCAGCTGATCGGAGAGCAGTAGGGGGAGGCATAAAATTACTCCCTGCATCAAATCGGTGACTGCTTGCACGAAAACGGTGACTTCTTGCACCAAGTCACGTGCACATCATGTCCAACTCCGTCAAAACTAACCTAACCTAAAACCTAAACCCTAAAACCTAAACTTAACCTGTCCTAACCCTAACCCTAACCCTAAAACTCACCCTGAACTAAACCTAACCCTAAAACTGAGGTTAGGACAAAGTGTGCACGTGACTTGGTGCAAGCAGTCACCGATTTGGTGCAGGCAGTAATATTATTTCGTAGGGGGACCCCACGCGAGGTTCTCCACATTGATGTGAAGTACATGGACTGAATGGATGATTGGGCCGTCAAGGGACATTACTGTTCAGGATCTGTCTGCAACTCCGTTTCCTCCAGCCCGTACAGGCCGCCTCCACCGGAACCGCTTCCACAGTGGCAAACCAGCCAGCGGCCTATCAGCGTACGTCCTTGAATTAGTGTCTGCGAATGACCCAATTTGCAGATATGCAAGGATGCAGCTACCCCTTTCGTCATGTCTTAAGGGACCCTGAAGTAGGGAAGCTGCCTGCCGTAAGAAAGCAGCTCGCCAAGGCCAGCTCTTTAATGCAAGCCTTGACTCTCTTTGGATTTCGTGCCAAGAGTGCGCTGATCCGTTGCCCCGCATGTGAACGATGCTTGTGGACTGAAGGTCCAAGCTGCCAAGGGACGGGCAGCTGGACAAACATAATGTCATTGGCTGCCCGTACTGCCCAAATGGGGCCAGGCACTCTAGAATATTGGCGAATCCAACTTGTTTCATTATTTTTGTGTTTTGGTGTTTTAACATTTTGACTTTAGGGAAGACGCTATTTTGATTTTGATACGCTTACCGTCAATGTGACGTTAGGCTCAGATCCCCCTTCCCCCCCCCCCCTAAGCGTCAATCCTTATTTCGGTGCCGGCATGACTCAGCAGCATTACCTAATTTAGCCATACAACTTCAAAAGTTTTAAGGGGGAACACACAACCAAAATTGTGGCGACTTCGGTGATTTGAAAAGTGGGATGCCAAAAAGCGATGATAGGCGATGAGAGCAGCCCCAAAGCATGAAAATTGATCAATTCTAAGGATAGCCTGGATGATTGAAAGCTCGAGGGAGGTTTTGCAACAAGTTTTGACCTATTTTCCGCCGATCAGTGGCGTTTTTGTGCGTCTTCTTAACTTACTTTGATTTTATTGCACTTACATGATCTCTTAGCATCAACAGCTGGACTCCCCCCCAAACACCACCACCGTCAATTTGACGTTAAGTGTACCAAAATCAAAAGAGTCTCTTCCCTTTGTACATTTGACGCTCAACGGATGGCATGCGTTCTCCTTCCTCACTTGACATGGTGTTGTTCGGGACCTGGGTCCCATAATAGTGCATGTCACTGATGCAAAGTGCTGGTAAAATGATTGCGAAGGCTGTCTCTGTTGTCGCAGCACGTCTCTTCCCAGAGCATCGCTGAGGCCCCAAATGCCCACGCCCACGCACAGCGGCGCAGTGCAGCAGCAACGAGCATTACACCCCATCCTGCCAATGTGCTTTTTGCATTGCCGATGCTCTGTGTCCCATTCGAGCGACGAAAACTTTGTCTCAGCTCAAATTGACAAAGGAGCGAGGGCTACTACAGCATCCGAATTCTCATCGCCAACGCGATGTTGTGCGCATGTGGCTCCCAAAACAAATAATGACAGCTCGCGTCCCTCCGGCCGCCGTTTATTCCGCTACACACAACTTCCCTCGCTCCATCTGCCAATCGTCAGTTGATCCGCCCGTCCGACAATTGCAACACGCCGATCACGAAATGACGTGACGTCATCAAGCATTTGTTGCTGTTCGCCGAGGTCTGCGCCACTCGGAACACCAGAGGACTGTAACCCCCGCTCGCAACTTTGTGCTTGGTGACAAGTGAACAGAAAAAACCACCATGTTTCACATGTTCGCAATCTCTAACGTCATGATGGATGTTCGCAGTGGCGTTTTCGTTCACCGCGAGGGCCGTTCCAGCCTCTTCCAGCATTGGTTGGTTTAATCCAAACATAATATGATATATTACGATATGATAATATTATTATCTGTCAATGTTGACGCCCTGGACCCCTCCTTCCTCAGCGTCCAGTGAGGGCTCAGCTTATTTAAATCAAAGTGGTTTCTTCGCTAAATCATAAGCAGATAGCCAATCGACCATTTTGGTTGTGTGCGATGCATCAAACGTGCTCTGAGCAATATGCGTGTAGTCAATCGGGTCCTTGTTTTTAACTTTGTCCTGGTCTGACAGGCGCCCACCATGTCAGACGAAAAACAATCTGCTGGTTAGGAGCCCCAGCTCTGGTTACTGACAAGGCCCCAAGTACGCCATTCTGCTGAGGTCTCCATCAATTTAATGTTGGGATGACTTAGGGACGCGCGAGAATGGTTGTTTTTGAGTTTTAAAGCAACACAGCTTGTGTGCTGCTGATGCATGGTCAGGCGCAACCAAACCCTCCAGTTGCAATAAAATTGCCGTGAGGGTGTTGCGATAAGAAAGCACAAAGCAGAAGCTGCCGTCGCCGTCATCATGACTGGGAAAACAAGGGCCAAGTAACACGTGTTCAAACGTGCACAAAGTTTACTGGCTGGGTTACTATTGTGCTCTTAGCGTGCTGAACATTGATAAACACATTTCATATTTGTTCGCAAAAAGTGGTATTTGGCTCTTTTTTTGCTAGTGAATATGTCACCTCTTTTGTCACCTCTTTTGATGCATATGGAGGGTGGAAACGCCCCCAGTCAACAGTGCTTCCAATGGCTGGTTTGGAAATTGGCGTATTGATGTGGCAGTCCACGCCTTAGATATGCCAGGACAGGGCAACAGCCCTTTCCTGTTGTATGTACGGGGTGGCCACCACCATGTGAGACAAATTCTCTCATGCGCTGCCCTGGGACATGGGGGCGCACATATTCAGGGGTACGGCCATATCCTGGGTATATGTATATCCTCCGTATGCAAAATTTCTCCGAAGTGAGGGAGCTGGCGGCTCAATGAATCACCGGTGCTGGGGCGAGTTTGGTAAAGCGGGGAGGCCACCAAAATCGGACGGAAGTGTAAGGTCTTCAAAATCTTGTCTGCAACCGGGACGGTGCTTTTCTATCAGTGTGTAGGGTGTTGGCTTAATCAATCAGAGGAAAGAAGATGTGCAGATTGAGGCGGCTACTGCAAATTTCAGGAAGGATTATTGATGAGGAGACGACTCGCGGTTACCGTAATCACAACAACGGCAACAGAGCGCATGCGCGATTGGAAGAGCCGGATGCACCTGTCCTGTTGGGATTCAGGTACATGTGTCTTGCTGGGATTCAGGGATTGCCACCTTGACGGCAAGTCTGCTGAATACTTCCGACTTCCCTTGCAATTGTCGTTTTTGGGCCATGACCTAGCTCTGATCCCAGCCATGTGCAACAGGTTCCAGTGCCTACTGGTTGCACTTTTGTGTGGGCTCCAGACGTCTGCAACCATTCGTTTCTTGGAATGGAAACGTGTATATCCTTCGTTTCACAAGAAAAACAGCAGGTACTGAATGGGCATACCAGGCAAATTCAAAATGTGACCAAAACACCATCACGAAAGGATTTTAGGGTTTTGAATCGACAGGAAGGATGCAAAGGATTGTGCCTGCTCTGCCTTGTTGCTGGCTATCCACCAAGACTGATTTTCAGACCAAATCCCAGCTGCGGTTTCCCCAGCGTTATTGCCGGCATTCCTCTCCTGGCACAGTCAGTTGTCTTCATCGTACCTCCCGAAGTATTGATACTTGTGTCAATGCATGTATACTACCCCCATACTATGACCATGGAGAGATCTGTGACGAGACGGTGGACCAGTGCTGTTCGAATGCAATAATTGCAGTAATGTGTCCACAACATACAATGGTAATCAAAAATTTACACCCGTTCAGTCTCTGTTCCAAGTGAATTTTCTTTTACGAGAAAATAGACATGAGTTGAAACACGCCTCTCAACTATAAAGGACTTCAGATTCGTCAGAATTGGATTCGAGTTTCAATTTGGTGGGAAAGTAGTCTGTCTTTACCCTCTGAGGGGCCCTGCATTTAGCCCTTGTTTTGGCCGTAAAGTGCGCTCTAGTTACTCGTGCACTGGAAATCCCGTGATTTTGATCCCTCCTGCCCATGTTTTTGGCTATACGAAATGTATTTTGGTCCCAAAAGCTCCCCTCGTTGAACTCGCTCGCAGATATCTTTAAATTCTACAAAAAAAGGGGTATAGCACAGATGTATCGCTGTTTCTGTCTGTCGCAAACATTTGTTTCAACACACTGAGCAGCGATTTTCATTGACCGATGATGGGACTGGCGATTTTTTTTCATTTGGTAGTGAACGGAGTTAAGCACTCACAAATGGGAGAGTTCACTGTTCCCGTTCGAATGTGCTACTATCATCCTCTGTCACCTCCCCAACTGCGCACACCCACTTTCGGTCGACGGACAATGCTGGCCCCAATCCAGGGTCGCTAATATAATACCAGTGCAATACAAAGACCAGACAACAACGCGCCACCATGACTTCTGAGTAGATTCCCACCCTGTGGACACCCTGCTGCACACTTGGGGCGCTTTGTTCGAGGCACTGGAAAAGGACTTGGCTCTTCACTCCGTAAGCCTCATGAGGCCTGCACAAAGTCTCCCTTGGAAAGTCGACCTTTTTCTTCTGATTCCAAAATACATCATATTTCAGGGTACAGGCGCCGCCCCCGTCTTATAACAAGATGTGCGGTCCTTGTCCCACCTCGCGAGGCAGTACAAGGCGGTGCAAAGGCCCAATAGAATGCTGAATCTCAAAAAAGAGAATTTGAGGACCCTCGTAGGTCATCAGTCATCAAAGAGAGCGGATTCTAGCCATCGATTCCACATCAAAGTCCGGGTTTCATCTGGTGTCGTGTCCACAACTCCCGGTTGCTTTCCCGGTGGGGGGAAGAGGAATATTCGGGGGTGTTCCGTAGTCCGGCTCTGTATCTTTTTCCATAAGCTGCGGTTCACCAAATACGTCCCAAAGTGCGACTGAGTCGTCATTAAATGGATGCGATGAGTTGTATACTTGCAAAGGCCTGGAGACAGAGATGTATGAAGCGATGGATCCGTGTGATGCGTGTGATGCCATGTCATCTTCTGAAGCACACCCTGGGAGCACTTGCTTGCATGCCCCATTTTCCATGGCTTTCAACAGGGCCAGAGACTGAGCTTCTGCGACAGAAGTTTCTGTTTGCTGCCGTTTGTCCTGCAGCAGCACATTTAGTTGTGAGTTATAAAGACCCTCAACAGGAACAATCAGCACCACGTCGCTTACATTTAGATGAGCGTATTTGACAGAAGTAAACGTACCAATGGGCGCGTAATCTTGCCGCTAAGTCCAGGGCAGATTTCCCATAAAATTGGTCTGTAAGAAGCTGCCCATGCCAATCTCATGTCTGCCCATGCACATATGTCCTGGCCTTTTTTTCATGAGTACGTCTGAGAGCACACTCATTCTGGCACGTGTTTCCCCTGAACATTAGAGCATGTCCTTGCCTCTGCCCACTGCGCTTCACCAAATACGTCCTGATAGGGTCGTCACCAACTCCATGTAATGAGTTGCATGTCATCGGAGGCATGGAAGCACAGCCACAAAAAGTGAGCGAGGCCATGTCATGTTCTGAGGCACAGACTGAGAGCACATGCTTGTGCGCCCCTCTTCTGCAGCGTTTGGCAGGGCCATTGATCTGCACAGACACCACTGAGCACCCACTGAGATTCTGTTTTCCGCATTTTCTCCTGTAGCAATATGTTGTATTGTGAGGGACAGAGAGCTTCAACAGGCACAGAGCAACATGATCTTTCTCATCTAATTACCGCATTAGATAGGGTACAAAACAGTTGTGAGCACTCTCGTCAATAAAGGCATATTCGGGATAGCTTCCAATCAACGTATTGCTTTTTCGCGGGCTGCAAAGCCAGTATCAGGCATGTGCATGCACATGGCAAACCTCGTCAATCGGCTGAAGTCAAGACCACATCCCCATTTCCTCCTTGCACTCAGGAAATTTTGGTCCCAGGACAAGTCAGAGCATGTCCGTATGTTGGAGCCCTAATGTCCCTTTCATGTGCGTGTACGACCACACACATGTCTTAATGGGTGTTCCAAAGTGCTCACACACACCTGCCATTCTGAATCTGATTCTTCCACCAACAAGAACGAGTCCATCTTGATTGATACTGTTCAAAAGCTGCCACCACTCTGAGTGGCGTTTGTCTGTGTTTTGATGCCGTGGTCGATCTGTGTAACAACATCGCAGTGGTTTCGATGTGAGCGCAGCCCAGCAGATGAGGAGTAGTGACATGTTTCCACTCTCTTAGAGTGCATCATTCCTCATGATTGCAGCAGAATGTTCACAAGCAATGCACATAATTGCAGTGTGCATGTACATAAGACCACACCATCATTGCAATCAAAACAGTATAGAACAGTGACATAATACGGACAACAATGTACGGTGAGGATCAAGCACAGCATGCAACAAACTGCCACAGATGTGTTTAGTACACTCAGAAATTCAATCCAGACTGTTCCAAGCAGGCATGCGAGCAGTTCCATTTCCAGTGCATACAATGCATAGGCTGATCACTTCAATTCCTGCTTTTGAAAACTGCATGCCTCAACTCTGCACCTTGGTGAAGAGCTTATCCAATTCAGTAACCACTGCAGCCATGCTGGGTCTTTTCATGGCATCAGGGTCAATGCAGTGCCTCACAGTGTCGATCAGTTCTTGAGGACAGTCCTCTGGGAAGACGCCAGGATCTGCTCCACTCTTCTTCCTTTTCTGTATCACAATTTCGCTTCTGAGGCCCCTGTAGGGCGGACTCAAAGCTGCAAGCTCAAATAGAGTCAAACCAAAGCCGAACACATCCGAACTGTGACTGTGCGGCCTCCCTTCATGCACCTCTGGTGCCATGAAAGGTAAAGTCCCTGCCACTGGGCATGCAGTCTTCGATCTCGTCTCAGTTTTGGCAATCGCCAAACCGAAATCTGCTATCTTAACAATGGGATGGCTATGATCCGGCGAAGTGAACACCAAGAAATTCGATGTCTTGACATCTCTGTGAAGTATGTTTGAATTGTGTAGATGTCTCAAGCCCGCAGCTGCACTTGCCATGAGCTGGACCGTTTCTGACAATGTCAACTCAAACGAACGCTGTTGACAGTACTCTTCCAAGTCAGATGATGCCAATTCCATGACGATGGCATTGTTGGTGCTTGCACCAAAGCAACGAACCACATTGGGATGGTTCATTTGGATGTGCAACTCAACCTCACTGAAGAATTCTGCACGTGCCTCCACACTGAGATCAGCCCTCAGCTTTTTTAAAGCCACATCATGACCATTCCAACGCGCAGTGAACACCTGTCCATAACCGCCTTCCCCAATTTCAACACCCTGCACTATTTCTGCATCTTGGATAATGTTCACAAATTCCTTGCGACTTCGCTCCTTGGCAATCAAAGTTTCCAGCTCCAGCCGAACCTCATCTGTGACCTTCCTGTCAATATCTCTGCCATCAAGTATGCAGGTCAAATACCAATACAGGTATCTCCTGTCTTCTTCAAGACAAACTTCATCCACCTTGGTCACAAACGACAGCGATTCTTCTGGCATGCCCATGTCCAAGAAGCACTCTTTGAATGCTTCACACATTCGATCCACTTGCAGGCACACTTTGCCAACTTTGTAGTATGTGCGAAGATCGAATGCCCGGGCATGCCCCTTCACAAGGGCAGTACCCTTCTCTACTTCGCCCTTCAGAATTCTCAGCAGGTCACAGTCAACTTCCCCTGCAAGCTGTTCAGATAATCGTGGCAAAAGGTCCTTCACTTTCCGCATCTCTTGGCACAGGAAGTGCAGCATCGCTGTGTTGTACCTGGCCTCTGGCAGCCTCTCCAATGCCATCCCTATTGCTGTGTTGATTGACTGCAGAAGGTCCTCCATTTTATGGCCAGCTAGGGCCAACAGAAAACGGTAAGTTTGTTGCTTTCCAAGATGCTGCATGAAATTGTCCAGTGTTCCCCATGCACAACACGGTCAGTAACCTTTCTTCAATTTTCCAGTAGCAAGCCTGCCAGGCAGAACAACATGTGAATAGGGTAACTGTGGTATAATGCTTGGAAACAGAACTGTGAGCTACATCTTTCATGGCATTTGGGGTGGCCCAGCGGCAGGTGTCTTCTGGCCAAGCATCTTCTGGCCATGCAAACTACCTGCAGTACAAAGTTGTCAGAGGGACAATGGCGTGATGATGAAACAGTCAAACACCTGCATGCCAACTAAGAATAGCCATGACACACCATAATCTTGGTCGCCACTACCTCCCGAGCCAGGCACAGCAAATGGGTGCCTGATCTTTCAAAGTGCACTTTGAAATCCACACACTGCCAGCCACCAGGACATGGTGTCACAGCAGTACAGGCTGCCACCGTTGCAGCCTGAGGATGACAGAGTATGCTTTCAAGCAAGCTCATGTACTGTATCACCCCGCATCCACTTTCAAGCACTGGCATTTTCCTTAATTGTGTTGTTGCTGCTTTTGGTGGTCCTCTGTTCTTGCTTATGCACCAAGAGCAGACCTTGCCTTTTGATATAAAAACACTTCTGAAAATCAGGTCTAACTGCCTTGGCGTTAGATCACAACTTGGAACATTCAAACCTTGCCCCTCCAAGTCAATATCATTCATTGGGACGCAAGTGCTCATGCTGTCTTTTTGGCTCCACAACTCCAGCAATTGTCACTGCACGAACAGGAGCAGCAACCATTGCCACATTGGCAAAAACAGCAGAATCCAACCCACTGTGTTCATGTGGACCAACTCCAGTGCATTTTCCTCTGACATCCTCGGGTAGGCGATTTGCATTATCTATCTCCATTTCTCTCTCTGAATCCTGACCTCCACCAGAACTTTCATCTTCCTTGAAATCTGGTTCACACAGACTTCCATTGCTGGTGATGCCTTCATTGTTATCAAAAAAGCTCTCAGTTGATTTGGGATCACAGCCAACTTCTACATCAAGAATTTGACAGCATAGGTGCTTACAATGGGCTCCTGCCTGTAATCCCTACCACACGAGCGAAACCCCACCCATGTGTGCAAAGGAACACTGAAGCCAGGGAAATTGTGAATGTCACTAATACAAACAGTAGTTTGGTAGGCTCATCGGTTGTGCACCCATAACTGGCGATGCACAACAGTGTCAAACAGTCAAGCCGCACACATCACCATGACGGCACCACGCCAGTCGTTGCTGTAGTGCTCCCACCACACCTCCTCACTGCTACACTGCTACTTCACACTGCAGCTAAGTGCTGCCACACCGCAAATATGCAACTGCATAATGCCGCCCTACACAAGGCAGCACTGGCCAGAACACATTTATCTTGCATGATGTGCAACACAGTGTGAATCGATATAAAATGCCAAAAGATGAAGATGAATTGTGACAGACACCACTGGAGGTTAGCACTGAAGTGGCACATTCAGTTCCTTGTGTTCTTGTAAACCATTGACAATGTAGAAGAAATTCAACGCATCACCTCATGCAAACCTCCAACACACACCATAATGGCACAAGGCACACAAAAAGCAGTGGCAATCACACCTCTCAAGTCGCAGTGACATTTCTGCAGATTCAGGCACTGTGTAGCTGCACCTTGTGAACAAGATTGTTTGGCCATGAGAGAAAAGAGAGTACAGCAATATTGTATGCATGATGCGATCGTGTGTTGCTTGCATGGATATTGTGGAAATTGATGTGAAGTTGTGTGAGGGTTCTTTTGCATGGCGATCCATCCAATATCGAAACAATAGCCCCCCACACTATCTTGCATACCCACTGCCATCCACAACACAGGTCTTGTTTGATAGCATGGACGGCACAATCTAGCCCCCCCTGTGCTGTTCAACACCCCTGGCACTATCCTGCACGATCTATGGCACCTACACAGCTGGAAACCCTTCCCCTATCCCCATCCCGTACAAGAAAAGGAGGGGAGGGGTGAGGTGGTCCGAGAATGAGCAGTATTGGGCCTTGTCACAAGAAGATTAAATCACTTGGATGCATTCAATCCATCACATGAAGCTTCCCGTCATTTTCTGCACAGCATAAGGCCCATTGGCAGAGATACAGGCTGCTAGAAGCCAAACTTGGCATCGTATTGCAGATTGCTGGCCTATGCATCCAATGGGGCATGCCACCAAGACAGCTTGATGGGCAAGGAGAACAGGAGAGGAAAACTGATCGTGCGCTATGCTGTTGAGAGAAGGGGAGCCAAGGGAAGGGCCGGCTCTTTGGACACATGCAGAGAATCCGCCAACTCTTTGGCCCTTCCCGCGGGAGTGCAATGGGCACACGTGCCTGGGAACAGGGCCCCTCTGCCTCCCCTGCTGGGAATTCATTGCAGGGCGACCCCTTGCCCCAAACGATCCAGGGTGCATGAGAGAGCAAGAACAGGCTCCCACTTCTTGGCAACCCACTCCACTGCTAGTTGAGACACTTCCTGACTGTGTCGCTACGACCCCTCACATCAATCCCCTCCCAAATCGAGAAGATTCAGAGAATGGCAAATGCTTCCACCCCCAGAACCACAGCCGCTCGAGGCCCGTGCTATAATCCAGTCATGCAGGCCTTCTGGCAGGTGATCAGCTGGGAACACACAGCAAGAGCAGCACTGGCACATGTGCTATGTGTGTACGCCTCAAGGGGGGTTTACAATGGACCAAGATGCATATGGCGTTCAGGCGCCGGTACGCTTTGCTGGTCAATATGACAACATGGGATTGAGTCCCTGTACCAGTAGGTTACTGCAGAAAGAGGACGGCATATAGGATAGCACAGGGGCACACAGGATAGTGCCCCCGCAACTTGACAGCAGCGATGCTTCTCAACACCCCCTGGATAGGGTGCGATGCTTCTCAACACCCCCTGGATAGGGTGCTATCCCCTTTGATCTACAGCACCCCCATTGTACCTGGGTACCCTGGGACATCTGGGTGCCCTACTTTCTCACACCCCAGGGTACGGGGTATGGGCTCTAAAGGCTGGGTACCACTACCAATACCTATGGCTGTCACAGCAATCGAGACTTGCCCACACAATTGGTTCAAAGTCGTATGCTATCAGACACAAAAATGATGTCACACCTGCCTTCTGGGAGAACGTCAGCTTTCTGGCATTCTTGGAGACCAGGCTCCTGGCAGATGCCTTCCGCATCAGTAACGGTGGTGGTGACCCTTGGTATCCCGTCTGGGGCCACGCTTTGTGGAGTTTCGGGGTCTGCCTTGATGGCCAGCGCGATCTACCATTCCGTTGACACGTTTGCTTCAGGGTCACTGAGTGGACGCCCAGCCGTGCTGCAACATCGTCGAGCTTACGAATCTGTGCCTGCACAGGTCACCAGCCGAGGGAATGAGCAACAATCTAAGACTGGTCAGGAGGTCACATCATTCTAACTCAAGAAGTTAGCAGAAACACAGGCTAGATGGCAGCAGACCTCTCAATAGGCCAAACCTCGTGGTCTTTCAAGGATATCCCCTTCACTGCTCCCCCTTCTAGCTGGTTGTCTATCTTGTTGCTTCGACCACAACTGCCAGACCTCTCCAACTGCCTGCCATCGCCATTGGCTTCTACCTTTGCACCCTGGGTGTGCAAAGTGCCATTCTTCTTGTTGTCTGTGTCTTCACCATCATCATCATCATCCAATAAATCGATTTGCTCCGGCTGGGGCACCTCATTGCCTGGCATTGGAGACAGTGTTGGTGGCAGGCTGTTGAGAACATCCAGACCAGAGGATGTTAGGTCTAGATAACGAAACCAGAAGATGGGGGTTGGCAGTATTGCAGATTGTGGCACCTATGGCTGGTACAAATATAAGCCCCCCAACGGGTGGTTGGTTCCAGGCAACTGCGTTGATGATCCCCTGGTGGTGCAGGGCTTGTCCCACAGGTTGCTGCATAAGCCAGATACACACAACCGTCGAAATCCCACTGCCTGTGCCACATGAGACTGCAGCCCAGATGGCTTGCAAGTGTCTGCTTGCAGATGTCTGTGCACTATGCAAAGTGCAAAATAATGGTGACTATGTTCCAATGCCAAATGGCAATAAGGCCTTTGTTGGTTAAGATATTGGAGTCCCACTGAAGTAGCCGAATTGAGCCTTTGCGAGCAGCTGCAGCTTCTGGTTCATTCCTGCAGAGCAGTTTTGGCACCACCACAACAATGCAAAGATGAAGAGAATTGCAGACCAGTACTTGGAATCCAAGTGACTATGCCCAAACTCACAGCCACACTTTGTGTTTGCCATTACCTTGGTTGTGTCAATAGTCCAGCGGGCCTCTTGTTCACATAATCACCACTGGCCAGTGGAATCGGGACCGGAATGGGCAATGGAACACTTGAAGACACAGCTTCCCCACAGAATGGGAGACCAGTCATAGGAGCAGAGGGGACGTATAGTAAAGAAGACTGTCCATGAGGGGCAGGCCATGATGTGCAAAACTGTCCCATCGCCACTGCAGCAGTCCCTTCCATGCCTACAGCCGCAAACCAGAAATTCATGGAAGAAGTTCACGGCAAATTGCAGAATTACCTGACTGGTGTCCTGAGATGTGCACAGCTGTGTGTAGTTTCCTGAGCCCCTTGGTCCACACTGCACATTTGGTGGAAGATTCCACACTGAAGTGTAAAGTTATCAAGACAAAAGCCAGCACACTGGGAATGTAGCACAACAGTGGTGACCGCAAACGCACAGGCAAAGCTGAGCACCAGCAGCCAAGCAGATTTTCCAGCATGCCCAACTTGTTGATGACTCTGGTGCATCCCTTTTGACTAAACTGCATTTCAAAGCGATACCACTGATGTCAGGCACTCCCCAGGCAAGCGATACAACAAGGTGCTCATTGGTTGGGCCAGACAAGAGATGAGACAGAGTGCTCAGTGGTTGGGACTGCCCAGCCAATGCATACGGAGGCTTTCCACAACGATATGTGTGCACCATACATGCATGCTTTCCCTATCACTGCTGGACTTCAGCCCCTTCTTTTGCAGGAATGCCTGCTGCTCCCCACGTCCTTCCTGTCCCCTCACCTCCTGTTTTATGCTCGTTTCCCTCTGCAGCTGCCCCTGCTGAAGGGCCAGGCCCCGCAAGCACAGCATCGCCTTCTTGGCCAACTTCAGATGCTGCCTGAACTAACGTCTCCCCAGTCATCGGCCCACTTTCCACTCCCCAATTGCGCAGGCCAAGCTGGAGGTTACAAATGTCCATGTCGGCCATGTACAACTGCACACTCTGCAGAGACAACACAGAAGGGTTTAAAGTATTGAGTGACAAACCCTCAAGAGCGACCGAGGATCAGTGAGTCATTTCAACCGCTCTATGACTGTTGTGTTTGGTGGGTCTGGTGGGGATTTTTGTGTTTGGTGGTTGGCCACCATGCTTCGTCACATTGTGGGTAACGATGGAGTCATTCACTCCATGGGGCACCACTGGGGGCCAGAGGCGCCAGCCCCGCCCTGCTTACAGCCAAGAGAACTGACATATGGGCCTGAAGCGGGCTGCCTGACACTGGGACCTGAGAGCTTCGGCTGCAGTGAACCGCAGCCAAGCCCGCGGCTCCAAACATCGGATCCACCAACGGTGCTCGGCGGGCGTGACGACTTCATCCGTGGCACGGCCGCCGCCGACAGATCCCCGGGAACAGTCCTGGCGCAGCCTCACCTCTAGGCATCTGGACAGGCGGCTGATGATCTCCGAGAACATCACGTATGTCGCGTGGTGCAACACCTCAACCATGGCTATCTCCCTCTCCGCGTACACGGGTGTGACCATCGTGGAGCGAACGAGGCAGCGCCGCGCCTCCTCAACGCGGAGGTACACGCTCTTGTCGTAACGCTGGACGTCATAGCACAGCTCCGGCTGCGGCCAACACGACAGGGTGGTAGGTGTCACCCACTGCCACGGAAAAGCCTTGGGGCCCCTGTCTAGCTGTTCACCAGGTGGGCTTGGAAACTGCCCTTAGGAAGAGAGTTCGGCCAGCGGATGAGGGTGCATGTTTCCGAGTCGGCCATCCGCGACAAGCAGCCTATGGAGGTGATCAGGCGTGGCTTGTTCGGTACCAAGACTGCCCGCAAGGACTTTGCCGCAGCGGCGCTACGCAGCGTTGCAATGCTAATGGGGACTAGTTCAGTCCGCGCGCACCTGCCCGCTGCAATAAACCCGACCAATGACGCCCAAGAGGTGGGGCTTGGACACGTCCGTGGCGATGCGGTAGCGGCAGCAGAGGCGTCTAAAGAGCGCCAGCTGGTCGCCGTCCCCAGCGATGGAGAAGGGCATGCCCTGTTTTCAGAGGTAGATGGCGCCTTCATCCGGTGATCATCCAAACTCGCCCAGGGGCCCTGGACAGCCCCGGTCGTTCAACCCAGGTCTTGGGTGCAGCCCCGCAGTGCGTCGATGCGGAACAGGGCTGACGTTCACCACTCGGTGAACAATCCGAGGCAACGCGAGCACACCTTACCTTTGTTTGGACTACAATCTTCCCGTCCGCGGTCACCACAGGTCCCCAGACCTGCCCGGGACAGAAATATGTTTCAGTACCCGGGAGACACGACGAATTTCGGGGTCAGGCGTGCCTGTGGCGGAACAGTCTTCTGACGACGCGTCGGGCCCACCTGGACAAGGGCGCCATCCCCGCAACCAGATGCCTCGGCGTTGAAGTTCTTTAAGGCTGTGGAGAGCCGTCGGGTGAGGTCGCGGGACAGCCCAACGTCTGGCACCCAGTCTCCAATTCCTTGGCTCGCGACAGTGTCCATGTTTGTGTGGCCCAGCCGCCCAGCAGCTTAGCACCAAGAGGCTTCGGTGGTGGCCGCGCTTAGGTCAGCGGCAGTGGCGCGGGGAAGAGCAAGGACGCTATGATTCGTACCCTCAATGCGACAAGGTAGGGACTGCACGGAGAGACGGGGCGGCTGTTTCACGAACACGCCGCCGTCCCGTCCCTCCAGGTAGAGGTCGAAGGGAGCGAAGGGTGGCAGTGATCGGTGTGGGCCCACTGTCTCGGTGGGGAAGGTGCAGGTGGAAATGGACACCAGTGGGGGGATTCCATGCGAGGTTCTCCGCATTGATGTGACATAATCATGAAGTTCCGCATTGATGTGACATAATCATGAAGTACGTGGACTGAATGGATGGTTTGGCCGTTTGGGACATTACTGTTCGGGATCTGTCTGCAACTCCGTTTCCTCCAGCTCGTACAGGCCGCCTCCACCGGAACCGCTTCCCCGGTGGCAAACCAGCCAGCGACCTATCGGCGTCCGTCCTTGAATCAGTGTCTGCGAATGACCAATTTGCAGACATACACGGACGAAGCTACCCCTTTCGTCATGTCCTAAGGGACCCTGAAGTAGGGAAGCTGCCTGCAGTAAGAGAGCAGCTCGCCAAGGCCGGCTCTTTAATGCAAGCCTTGACTCTCTTTGGATTTCATGCCAAGAGTGCGCTGATCCGTTGCCCAGCATGTGAACGATGCCTGTGGACTGAAGGTCCAAGCTGCCAAGGGACGGGCAGCTGGACAAGTATAATATTGTTCGATTACAGCTCAATCTATTCAATTTAATGGCCATCACTGCAATCGAGTAAAAAGGTGGTGGGAAAGAGTACGGATGTAGACGGCCAGTTTTCCCTTGAAACGTACAAAGATGGCTGATTTCGGTAGTCCTAGCACTGCTATGTACTCAAGGAAAAACGTGTGCGCAGTCAGCTACATTCCAGTAAGGTTGACTCAAAGCAATCTAGGCTTAGATGTCCCCTATTCTGTGAATCTGCGATTATGATAATCAGAACCGGCCCAATCTGTATAATCTGGGTCATTTTGAGACCAGTTGATGGGCAGCATGGCCAGCTGTGGTTGCGCTGTCATTTTGCCAAGGAAAAGGACAGGAACTAATCTGGTTAGACACTTAGATTGACGGGAGGCAATACAATTTTGAGTCACACATTTCTAATCTATGGAATTGAGGCTATGGGTACATCATACGGAAAGGAAGGGACCGTAGTGTGTACAGGCCCAATGGAAAGCACCCTTGGAAAAAGGCTGGCCTGTTCGTAGGGAGCCTTTGGGTGACTTTCGCAGAGAAAGAAGGCTAAATTCTGGCCCCTTTTGAGGAGACCAGGGATCGTAGGGGTTGTCCTTCAATGGACCTGAACTGTTTCAAAAGGTCCTAGGACGTTGACAGGACAGGTACTAGCAGGGTATAGGGGTCCATTGAGGCGTGATGCAACGTTGTGTGCGGCTGCTGACTGTACATTATGGTTTAGCGACTATACAGGCGATTGCCTTTTTGGCAATTCGTGTACTGTACTGTTTCGTACACGTTCGGCACATCCCCGCATCCTGCGCCCCCAAGGCCTCCGCGCCCCATGACCTGCCGCTGGTCCCTAGGAATGCGTAGCGGCCATAGGGCCAGTTGAAGGCCAATGAAAGTACTGCCCGAACGGCACTACGAAATTCTGTGGATAGGGCAGTACAAGTTGTGGTACATTAGTGGGAAGGAGCGTGAGGGTCAGTGGGAAGTTCTGGGTTGATGGACTGTTTGTGCAAGGGGTACTGGGGCCTTTTTTTATCAGGTGGTCTGTTGGAATGTCCAAGGGTCGTTGAAGTGTAGTGATGATGGAGCTGGCGGGGGTATTTAGGAGGGGCTGTTTGGGGTGTGAGTGCTCCCCTCTCTCTCCGCCCCCCTATCCGTCCGCTTTTGTTTCTTGCGGTCTGAACGGCTGGTGTTCTGCTGAGAACAGTCATGCTGTGAACGTGTGGAGGTCGAACGTAGTCGAAGGGGAATGACTTTGTAACAAGCACGTTCATTTCTGTGTGCCTTTGTCTCCTGGCCCTCCGGGTCGATTGCCCTTTGGGTTGTGCACCGCTGCACATACCCGCAGCTCCGCGTGAGCTTGTTTCCTGCCTCGTTGACCGGCTGACCCGCGTGCGCTCACGTTGGGCGCTGATTTCGCCGACTCGACGACGTGTCTTCATCGTCCGCTGCTCGGCGAGTGATTAGAGCACAGCGGCGGACCGCAAGGAACGAGCATCGACAACATCGGTTTGCGACATCTGGAGATTGGTCAGTACGCTCGCTATAGTGAGCTACTGAGCGAGGTGTGGAGTGTTGTTTCATTATCTGAGCGTGGTTTCTTGTGCGTCGTTTCGAGCTGCTCAGCCCTTGCATGTTTCTCGTTGTATGTGAATGGATAAGGTGAAGTTGAATATGAAGTTCAGCACTGGGGTTGCGCCTCGCTTCGGCAGCGCTCGACAATACCTCAAGAGTCCTGTTAGGCTTGAATGTGCATGCTGTGGTGATTTTCTTTGTCATGTGAGCTCTTATGAGCTAAGTTATTGAGTGTACAGGAGCAGAACGCTCAGAGCTCTTGGGCGATTGACGGGGCTGTGATAGTGGTTGTGCCTTCAGTGACTCTCATTGAGCGCATATGGCTGATCGTTAAGTCATATTGCTGTTCCTAAGTGTAGACATCCTCCTGTCGGTCCTTTTCAGCTGTTTGTAACATCATGGCACTCGAACAATATTATTGGCTGCCCGTACTGCCCAGATCTGGGCAGGCAATCTAGAGTACCTGGCGCATCCAACTTGGTTAATTGTTTTTGTGTTTTGGTGTTTTAATATTTTGACTTTATGGAAGACACCATTTTGATTTTGATACGCTTAGCGTCAATGTGACGTTAAGCTCAGACAACCCCTCCCCCCCCCCCCTTAGCGTCAATCCTTATTTCGATGTTGAGATGACTCAGCAGCATTACCTAAAGTAGCCATACAACTTGACAGTTTTTAAGGGAGAACACACAACCAAAATTGTGGCGATTGGGGTGATTTGAAAAGTGAAATGCCAAAAGGGGATAATAGGCGATGAGAGCAGCCCCAAAGCATAAAAATTGATCAATTCCATGGATTACCAGGATGATTGAAAGTTTGAGGGAAGTTCTGCAACAAGTAATGACCTATTTGCCATTGATCAGTGGCTTTTTTTTGTACATCTTCCCACCCTCCCACCTGATTTTATTGCAATAACATGATCTCTTACCATCAATAGCTGGACAAACCCCCCCCCCCCCCCCACCCCCACCCCCTTTACATCAATTTGATGTCAAGTGTACCAAAATCAAAATAGTATCTTCCCTTAGTACATTTGACGCTCAACGGATGGCGCCCCCATCCCCTAGTCTGCCTAGGGCAAATCCCTTTCCACCGCTTAACGCCAACCCTTACTCGATGTCCAGAAGGTCCATAACGTCAGTACTTGGTATTGACGCAAAGTACTGGTAAAATTATTGCGAAGGCTGTCTCTGTTGTCGCAGCATGTCTCCTCCCAGAGCACCAATTCAAAAGTCGGGCCCAGTCCAACCCCACGCACCGCAGCACGATGCAGCCGAGCGCATGCGCCCCCCCAATTGCGCTCAATGCAGAGAAATTTCTGGTCTTTTTGCATTGGCAGCTCTGTGTCTCCCGCTCCCGACCACGCCCATTCGAGCAACGAAAACTTTGTCTGAGCTCGAAATGAAAAAGGAGCAACGGCCACTACAGCATCCAGATTCTAATGATCGCCAAAGGGATGCTGTGCACATGTGACTCCTAGAGCAAATAATATCAGCTCAAGTCCCTTCCTCCGCCTTTTATTCCGCTGCACACACCTCCCCTCGTTCCATCTGCCAATCGTCACGGTATCCGCCTATCCGACAATTGCAACACGCCGATCACAAAATGACGTTACAGATCGCCATCAAGCATTCCCTGCTGCTCGCCAATGTCTGCGCCACTCCGAACACCAGAGGGCTGTAACCCCTGCGCGCAACTTTGCGCATAGTGACAAGTGAATAGAAAAAACCGCCATGTTTGACATGTTCGCAATCTCTAACATCATGATGGATGTTCGTAGTGGCGTTTTCGTTCACCTCGAAGGCTGTTCCGGCCTCTTCCAGCATCGTATGGTCTAATCCAAATGTATTATCTCTTATGGTCGATGCCTTGTACCCCTCCTCCCTCAGCGTCCGGTGAGGGCTCAGTTCATTCAAGTCAAAGTTGTGTCTTTATTAAATCATAAGCAGACAACCAATCGACCATTTTGTTGTGTGTGATGCATCAAATGTGCTCTGAGCAATGTACGTATATCAATTGGGCCCTTGTCTTTCAATTTGTCCTAATCTAACAGACGCCCACCACGTCAGACGAAAAACATTCTGCTGGTTCGGAGCCCTATCTCTTGTTATTGACGAGGCCCCAATTGCGCCATTCTGCTGAGGTCTCCATCAATTTAATATTGGAATGCCTTGGGAAGGC